TACAGCTCAATACTTTTAAGCATAATTTAACTGTTTTAATAAGTGTACAGTTTATCTGTATCTGAAAGGTTTCCGTATAATACGACCATATCGAGTTCTAAGTGGTTGTGGTAGTTCGGGGATATAGTTGTTATCAACTGGCAGATTTGGACGCATTATATTCTCAACTGGCATATCCATGTCTAAACAATCATCGTCGTCATCATCCATGGGTATATTAAAGTCATCGTGATGATCTCCAATAAGACGAAGGTGACGCCTATTGCGACGATAAATTCCACGCTTTGTCTTTACAATGTATGATCTGGGTTCTGTAGCTTTATGTACAATTATTCCTGGGATTAGCCATTTTTTATCATTGTCAAGTTTAATAAAGACTTTATCATCAGGTTTTAATTCGGATAACTCTTTAACTCCATGAAACCGATTAAAGTTAGATTCTGACTTGTTTTTATACAATTCATCTTTCCCTCTCACCCTTTCTAAATCAGGCCATTGAGGTTCTAAATTTGTTGGTAAAGTAGGTAACGTTGTACGTAATTGACGTCCCATTAGTAGTTGAGCTGGACTGCATTTAGTAGCTTCTATTGGGGTTGCTCGATAATTCAGGAGAGCGATGTGTGGATCGGGCTGGTTAAGAATGGTCTTAGCTGTTTGGACCGCTCTCTCGGCTTCCCCATTTGCCTGTGGATAATGTGGACTGGTCGTAATGTGTTCTATACCATAACGATTACAAAAGCTGTTGAACTCATGCGACACATATTGTGGACCATTGTCCGAAATTAACTGTTCTGGGATACCAAATCTTGCGATCACATCTTGAAACTTGGATATTAAGCAACGACTAGTAGTTGTCGGCATATAGATGATTTCTAGGTATCTCGAAAAATAATCAATTATTATTAAATATTGTTTATTCTTAAATGTACAAAGATCTGAAGCTATTCTTTGCCAAGGTCGATCAGGTAATGTACTTGGAATCAAAGGTTCTTTGTTTTGTGTAGGTCGTTGTTTTAAGCAATATAAACATGAAGACACTTTATTACGGATTTCTGTCGAAATCTTCGGCCACCACACGGACAAACGTGCGCGTTCTCGGCATTTTGTGACACCTAAATGTCCTTCATGGATGCGGTTTAAAATATCATCTCTTAGTTGTGACGGAATAATAACTCTGTTACCATAAGTGAGTACGCGATTAACACTGCTCAGTCGTTCTCGAACAGTAAAATAGGGTTTAACGTTTTCTTGAACGTCTCTAATGTATTCAGGCCATCCCTGTTGAACGTAATAAAGAACACTCTTTAACGTAGGATCTTCCTCGGTCATTCTGCGAATCTTAGTAAGTAATTTATCTGATGTCGGCCACGAAGACGTTATCAAATCAACAAACATGCGAATTTCCTGTTCTTTACTGCTGTCTTCTGCATTATTTAAGGGACTACGACTTAAAGTATCCGCCACCAACAATGTTTTCCCTGGAACGAACTCAGCTGTTGGATTAAAACGCATTAATCTCATCAATAAACGTTGACATCTAATAGGAACCTGATCAATGTCTTTACGGTTAATAAGAGGCACCAAAGGCTTATGATCAGTTAATAATTTATACGAATCAAGTCCGCAAATATATCTGGAAAATTTCTCGCTCGACCATACCGAAGCTAGGCACTCTTTCTCAATTTGGGCATATCGTTTCTCAGCATCTGTCAAAGTACGAGAACAGTAGGCAACTGGCTTCCAATCAGAACCATGCTGCTGCATTAAGACACCTCCAATTCCATACTGACTAGCATCTGCACTTATCATTGTAGGTTTACTAACATCAAATAATGACAATACAGGAGCGCTACTTATCAATTCTTTGACTGTTTTAAAAGAGTTTTCTTGGGATGAACCCCAAGTCCAAACAATATCTTTCTTTAAAAGTTTGTTAAGAGGTTGTAATACATCAGACAAGTTCGGTAAATATCGACCTAAATAATTAATCATGCCCAAGACACGTTTCAATTCTGTAACTGTTTTAGGTACTCGTAATTCCTGGATAGCTTGTACTTTATCTGGATGTGGGCTAATGCCACCTGAGGTGACAACATGACCTAACAAATCAATTGATGTTTGACGTAGGGTACATTTATTTTTGTTTAGTTTAAGTCCTGACTCTTTAATACGTTCTATGACGGCTGAAAGATTGCGATCATGTTCTTCAAGCGTTACTCCAAATATAAATATATCGTCCATGTACACTGCTACTCCGTCCAAACCTGTCAATAGTTCAGACATTTTTCTCATAAATATTTCTGGTGCACTGGTAATTCCAAATGGTAGCCGTTTAAATCTGTATCGTCCATTAGGTGTAATAAATGTGGTTAATTTGGAGCTCTCTGTATCAAGTGGTATCTGATAAAATCCGCTGGATGCATCTAGACGTGAAAAGTATTGACTTCCTGACATTTTATGTAAAATATCTTCTAATGCGGGTAAAACATATCTTTCGCGTTTAACGCCTTTATTCAATTGACGTAAATCGACACATAATCGAACACGACCATTTTGTTTTAATACCGGAACCACTGGGGCACACCAGTCGGAAGGCTCTGTGACCTTTTCGATGATATCTTGATCAATCATTCTTTTTAATTCTAATTCAACTTTAGGTAATAACGGAATTGGTATTCGTCTAGCTGCATGTACAGAATATGGAACGACATCATCTTTCAGTATTATTTTTACTGGATCCCCTTTTAAGAGACCTATATCTGCAAAAAGTTCAGTATCAATTTCAACACTGTCAACCTTACAACTGCTATCGTTTCTACGTATAAGTCCCATCCAAACTGCTGCTGTGCGGCTAAGCAGATTCTGAACAAAATTACCTCTAACAACGTAAATCATAATGTTAACAGTTTTGTGGTTGTGAACAAGGTTTGTTATAAAATATCCTAGGCAATCTAACCTTCCACCTGGACTTCCAAACTTAACATCAGACTTGTATAAAATAGGACGCGAACGCAACTTATTAAATGTTAATTCAGATATTACAGTCGCATCGGCTCCAGAATCAATTTTAAACTGAAGTAAGGTGTTTTCAACTCTCAATGAAATATTCCACGCCGGCTCTGAATCTTGCAAACAATCTGTGGATGTCAATGAACCAAGAAAAAACTCGGTTTGATTTTTATCAGGAATCACTAAAGGGGAACAACTGCGGGTTGCTTCATGGGAATCTACATTACTGATTAAAGGGAGGGTACTACAGTTTGTTTCGTCTTTCACTGTCCGGGTTATCTCCCTTATAGATTTTGTCTTACAGCACACTGCAAAATGGCCTACTTGATGACATTTCCTACACTTGGAATAACTAGCTGGACAATATTCATCTAACCAGTGTTTACGACTACAACGTGTACAATTTCTTCTATTTTCCCGGTATTCTCTATACCTGTTTGGATTATAATTATGATAATAATATCGCTGTCTTGGATTCTGAAATTGCCTTGAATTATTGTTACTATGATAATGATGTCCCCCTCTGAATCTTCCTCTACCTCTAAAATTGTCATCTGAACGTCGATGATATGCTCCGTGAGTCTCGGACCTTCGTGCTATTGCATCTATTTCTCGTTCCATGGTACGAAAATTATTCATACTACCACTACTACCGGTACTCTCTTCACTTTTGGAATTATTTTGACTTTTAATTAGTTCACTGTGCCTTGCTAAACTGATAGCAGATTCTAGCGTTAAATTGTGGGTCATTTGCAGTTTCTGTGAAACAGTCTTATCTAATACGCCTATTACAATTCTGTCACGTATGCATTCGTCTTTAGTGGCACCAAAATCACAATGCTCAGCCAAATCATAAAGTTTACGAACAAACGCTTCAACCGTTTCTTCCGCATTTTGGACACATTGGTGAAATTTTGACCTTTCAAATATTACATTTCTCTTTGGAATAAAATGATCATTAAATTTCTGCAGTACAACATCGTAATCTTTCTTTTCATCGTCATTTCTAAATGTAAAACTTTTAACCACGTGCTCCGCCTCGGGACCCATAGCATAAATCATTGCGCTAACCTGCACATTTCCATCTTCGTCGTGAAGTTTCGTTGCAAGGCGATATCGAGAAAATCGCTCCCTCCACTCGAGCCATTCTGACGGGCGATCAAACCTGAAAGCTTCTGGTGGATTAAATTTGGCCATTTTATTCGTTCAGCAATCTAATGCTCTGACTATTTTGACTTTTCCTTCTGACACCATGTCGTGGTATGACTCAACAATGGCGGCCATTTAACTTCTTTATTACTAATCAAGCATGCGCATTAACATACGCGGCAAATATGAATATATAATAATTGATATTATTACACATCAGAACATATTCTATATTATCATTCACCTTATAATACGTATTATAATACGTATTATAAGGTCCATGATATTATGTTATCATTCATGTTCAATCTGTAAGAAAGGGGTTAATTTAACGGATCCAGTTAGAATTTGTCCTAATACGCATGTTTGGTGCACGATAAGGTGTTATCTGAGCCATATTTATATATAAATGCTCTTAGCATGTTATCATGCAGACGCTCACTGATTTTATCATGTTTATCCTGAGTTAATAATCATGGAAATTTAAGACATTGATTAAGAACAAAAATTCAATCAAAAAAACTAAAATTGGGAAACAATATAACTATTTTCATCTTTTACAAACATCCCAGAAGTGCGAGCATGTAATGCAAGACAAGAGCCGCATATACGTATAATTCTAACAAGAGAAAAACAGATAGTGACGTTCTGGCATTATGAAACCAGTCAAACGATAAAGACGACCTAATTGATATAGCATTGGGCCGTCATCGATACGAAGTGTCAAAGTACCGGTTCTTTATCCTCGTAGTAAAGTATGTCAACACTAGGTGGCGTTTCACGGGGACCTATTTCTGATTGGCTGACTCTTTCATAAATAGCCGACTCGACGGTAAATCGTTCTCTTTTAGAAAATCATTCCCAACTAGTCAAAAGCTCATGAATAAATATATAACTCCGTGAATCGTAAATCAACGAAAACTTTAACGGTAAATAGCGTAAACAAAATAATAACGTTTTAATGTCGCTATCGTCTAGACCTGAAATAATTTTACTGACTTTGCTTCAGTTTGACATTATATGTAAACACGCTAAACCAATGTAACGTTTTGTTTACATTTTTTCCTTCGAAGGTCGATGATCGCGGTCTTATTTACTATACTACTACATGTAAAGAGCAGCCTCGTAGTATAACAAGTTCTTGTTTTCGTCGCATTTCTGCTGGTTTGTTTCTATTGTCAAAAAATAATCGAAATCTACGAATCATTTAATTTTGAGGCGTTCGAAGTTCATCCATTTTATTATGCTTATAAATTTCCGCACACGTGACACAATGCATACTTCCCTATGGCATGGGTATATTTAAGTTTATTGTATTTAATTCCCCATTTAATAATTTAAATATTTATTTGCTTTGTATGGCAGGTGTCAGATTTGGCATTTATAATATTTATACTTAAATTCATACAAATTGCCATCAATGCATTTTTAGATCTAGGTAATTTCCAAATTAGCATTATAATAATTCCTGAATTGTTCTCTCTTTTTTCCCTTATATTTAATTTTCTTCTTTTTTCTCCTTCGCCTTTATTTAATTAATTTCCTTCTTTTTTTTCAGTTTGTTGTCAATTTTTGCTAAGAAAAATCAATCAAAATGCCCGAAGTGGCACCAAAAAACAATTTAAGCACAAATAATGGGGAGCAAGAAAATACATATTGCTCTGACTCAAACTCCTCCCCGAATACTTCTCGATCATCTTCTCCACCGAGGTTAAGACCAAAATACAACCGTCTAATTGAAAGAATAAATCGTCGCAAGTATTCAGGTGATCAATGGTTTTCATTGGAATTTTTTCCACCAAGGACAAATAATGGAGCAATGAATTTAATACAAAGGTAAGTCTGACTTTTCCTTAAAGATGCATTATGTAAGACCTTAATATGCCTTTTTTAGGGGTTCACATGTTATATAAATTATTAATTAGACATTTATTTATAAGGCAAACCCCATATTTCAACTCTCAAGACCATCAGATCACCGTGATATTGAATGGATTAGAAAACCCATGCCATTTACAATTTCATGTCAAAATGGATAATCAAGACTTTGTTTATTGTAGCAATGGTACATGTACAATCGCAATTATCTTGTCAAAACATCCTCATAACTTCACTCAGAATAAAGTAACTCGACTGACATTTTCAATGTATTCACTTTTCATTATCTATTATAAAACTATTAAATTTTATATTATTAAATTTAAATTGATTATGTTAAAGCCTAATTAAGAACATTATAACTGACTAGTTGTCAGTTAATTTCAATGACTTTAAACCTAAAACACAGTAAATACTGTTAACTCTATAGAAAATATTTAAATATAAGTTGTAAGAAATGAGATACTGCTATAAATTGTCATTTTCATTGAAGCAATTATCTTGCTAATTTGAGGGGAAGTTTCTTGCTAATTTGAGGTAAACAGATAGGTCCAAAATTGATCAGCTTGCAAAGTTTTGAATTGAAAGACCTACATGTATTTATATTATACAGACCCTGATGTACCTGAATTTATTTTTAAAATTTTCATTTTATTCTTTTATTATATACCTAATTCGTAGATAACAAAAGTAGCTTACAACAAAGGGGATTAATAACTTTCCAAATATATTAGGAGTAAAATCCAGGTGCTCTCCAAAATGCAAGCGTAACTGCTTCACAGGTCGCTTAAATGTGAAGCTAAATCATCTTAAAATATTTCCATTCACACTCTTGTATGAGGTAGTCGACATGTAATATGTGGGTTATCTTAGATCATTCACTTAACAATCTGTCTGTAAACTAGATAAAGTTATATAATCTGTGATTTACTATACATGTGTAACATCAGCTGTTATATAGAAGTATAGAAACTATAATCCTACGGAAATTGACAACCAGATTTATGAATGAATAACGATAAACATGAGAAGTAGATCATTTAGTCCCATATATGTATGTTTTATCTACAATTTCCATATAGTTCAAACTGTGTCATATATTAAACAGGCTGCAACTTTTATCGTCTGGGATAAAATTTACTCTTCAAACAGTGCTACAGCTCCCTACAAAAAATATTTTGTTACTTACTATTTTAGGGATTTAAGAATTTGTTCACTAACTTATGATGTGTTGAATTCCACATAACCAAGGTGCATTTTAGTTCTGCACATTATAACTTGAGTGTGTAGAATCTTGGTAAAGTCGGATTACCATCATTTAAACAGCATGGCTTCAACGGTACATTAGAAACCATGGTAACTTGCACACTACCCAGGAGGAGGTCTGGGGTTCGTCCTAATGTTAGTCAAGAATATTTCCAGTCTGATTTCCGCGCATCTGTGGTACAAGACTGATTGAGGACTGCCACTCCAATCATGCTGCCTATTAATTAGGTGTGACATGTTATTTTGTGAGTACACCATCCATCCTACACAGGGATAACCATAAACCTTGGTGTACGCTATACAGGTAATTTAAGTTGCGAACAAAATTTTTAAAGAAAATAATCCCATGTTTTAGGATGTAAATGAAGAAACCTGCTATCTTTTGTAGATTTGAGAGAATGGCCCGAGGTAAGCCATTATTTTGTGATATAACATGGCATCCCGCTGGAGATCCTGGTAATACCGAGAAACCAACAAGCTCAACCTGTATTTCTGGAACCATGGTCAATTATTGTGGTATAGAAACCATGTTACACATGACCTGCTGTAACCAAAGTGTAGAAACCATCAAACAGAATTTACAAAAAGCCAAAGATCTGGGTATCCGAAATATCCTAGCTTTAAGGGGAGGTAAGAATTTAATGAAAATATAATTTGGTAGAATTTAATGTATCTAAAATATATTATGCAGACATAAAAGGGCTATAACAAATTTTTCACATCTCAAGTAAGTGCAGGAGAACCGCACTACAAGCAAAACAAAACCGATAAGACAAACCTACGGACAAGACAAACTACAGACATTGCAAGAAACAAACAGATATATTATCAACGTAGATATATAAATAATATGCCATTCAAGCATTAGGTAATTGGGGGGTGGATGGCCGAATGGATAGCCATGCGCACTCTATCATACGGTCTGTCATTGAGTCAACTGGCTTGGTTTCGATTCCGCAGTTGTACGTGATAAGGAGTAGGGTCGCCTGTCCATCCTCGTGGGTTTTCTCTGGTTTCCTCCTACTGCTAAAGACCCCTTCGGACAAGCAAATTATTGAAATAAAATTGAACCATATGTTAGTCCCGAAATACGTTAAACCACATATCTCTCTCTATCTCTCTGTCATTTGGTAATTACAATAAAAAATACACAGGACAGCAGTCTATGGAGTACAAGTAGGCCTATTATTTATGACTGAGCTAGATTTCTGTTAGGCTTCCCTAGTCTTTATCAAGCAAAGATAAAGTCTAAAGCATGTTGGTCGAAACAACACTCAGACAGTAATTGCGTTAGTTCATAGACTGGAGTATTTCCAGTTCAATTACCAAATGCCATTGAAATAATTTGCTTATCTTTGTAGGTGGACCCCTGTTTTAATATTCCTGTTTCTGGACATGTTTTCTGGTTTGAGAATCTGATGTTTAAAGTACCGTATATATGTTATTTTATTGTTTTGTAGATGCTTTAAGTGAGAATGGAGAATGGCAGCATGTCGATGGTGGATTAAACTACGCTACAGATTTAGTCCGTCTGATAAAACAAGAACATGGAGATTATTTTGTTATTTGTGTAGCTGGTAAGTCCATTTCTGCTCATTTAGTAACTGAATCCTCCCAGCACCATGCAGAAAAGTAGGGTGTAAACTCCATTTGATATATTCATTCATTCTTTCCTCCCATCACAACTGCCTTAATACTGTACCAATGTGTAAACTTACATCTTGCATTGAATAGGGGAATAATGATATTATAATAGACCAATATTTCTATTCACTCATGAAAGATATCACTGATTGGCTTCCATTGTTTTCCTCTATGAAAATTCACAGTTTACCCAGCCGGATAATTTAGGTAAATTGTCTTTCTGTTGTGTCAAAAGTGATTTCTCAAGTACCAAAATACTAGTGTATTAAAGGATATTTCAATTATAAATTCCTTGGCAGAAATCTGTTTGAAGAAAGACTGTACTATACAGGTCACAATTCTATGGAATACTATTACATTTCGACTAGACTTCTCTAGTCATTATCAGTAATTAGCAGTAATTGTATTCCATAGAATTGTGACCTGTATACTCCAGTTTAATTACTAAATGCCATGGAAACAGTTTAAAAGACTGTACTCATGATATAAGAACAGATACACATGTATATATATGGCCTATATTTTTATTGTAGGTTATCCTACTGGACATCCTGAATGTACATCTTATGAGGATGATTTGATACATTTAAAAGAGAAAGTCGATGCTGGAGCAGATTTTATAATTACTCAACTTTTCTTCAAAGCAGAAACATTTATTAAATTCCAGAAAGACTGTAAAAAGATTGGAATCACATGTCCCATTGTACCAGGAATTCTTCCTATTCAGGTTGGTTGAATACCAAAACTCACTTTCAAATGTAAGAGTAAACTCCCTTAGCACATCAAAGGAGATAATATGATCTTTTGTTTCTAATCGATTTACAAGTATTAAAATTAGTTTTATTATCTCAAGTGAAGTTAATACCAAGTTTAACATAAAAACAGGTAAAGTAGGTTGTGATCTGGCTAAATTGATCTTAAACAGAGTTGCCTCCCTTAGCACACCAAGGGAGATAATATTTTGGTTTTGTTTATGAATCATTTTCCTGGAATGTTACATTACATTTTAGTAGGGTTTCATGTATCCTTTCATAATTTATTGCAAACAAAAACTTTTCTTCACTTCAAAATTAGAAGTTTGTCTTAAACTTGATTTTTTATTTTGCAGGCATACCAATCACTACGTCATATTGTGAAATTATCTAAATTAGAAGTACCTCAAGAGATTATAGACGCTATTAATCCTATTAAGGAGAATGATGCAGCCATTAGAAATTTTGGCATAGACCTTTGTGTTGACATGTGCAAACCTTTGTTAAAATCTGGAGAAGTGAGCGGCCTCCATTTTTACACGTTAAATCGCGAAGTTGCAACTATTGAGGTGTTAAAAAGACTTGGAATGTGGAACGAAGAAATTCAAAGACCGTTACCGTGGAAATTAACAGCCAACCATGCAAGATGCAAGGAAGAAATAAGACCCATATTTTGGGGTTGTAGACCGAACAGTTATGTGTACAGAACTTCCAACTGGGATGAATTTCCCAATGGACGATGGGGTAATTCTTCTGCTGCCTCGTTTGGTGATTTAAAACACTATCATTTATTTTATTTAAAAAGTAATTCTACCAAAGAACATCTGTTAGAAATGTGGGGACATGAAATAATGTGTGAAGAAGATGTTTGGGATGTTTTCTACAGATATATAACCTGCAAAACAAATAAAATGGGAAAACAGGTACAGTTTTAAAAAAATTACTGTTAATGTGTTGACTATTTTTGTAAAAGCAAATCTAAAGCCACAACTCGTAACTAAGTTAAAACTCCAGGGATCTTTATTGTTATTTAAAATGAAAATATAAATGATACTTTTGAGCCTCAATTTAATTTAAGCAATTCAAATTTTTATTAGCCATATATGTACATGTCTTTTCGACCACCCAAAACTACAGCTCCTTTTACGACAAATATTGTATGAAAACCTGTGAACTATTTTAAGGACCTTATACAAGATTTGGGGTGGTCTAGGGAACTGTATTTCTGTGCAGGCTCAAAATGAGCAACAAACCCTGATATAGAAAGATTTAATTGTTCTAACAATATTTACATGCGTCAAGTGTTGAAGAGTTAATATATTACCTTTATTAATTTCCGATTTCCTATGACCTTTTGCTTGTTTTCAGGTGACAGAAATTCCGTGGGATGATGGTGAAATGTCAGCTGAAACAACTTTAATTTCTGATAAATTAGCAGAGGTGAACAGACAAGGCGTTCTTACAATAAATTCTCAACCAAATGTTAATGCTGCTCCTTCAGATGATCCAAAGGTCGGCTGGGGAACCCCTAATGGCTATATATTTCAAAAGGTATTTGATTTAGTTTTGAAATAAAAGTTTGGAATCAGAGTTTGAATAAATGTTCATATATAATATCTCTGTTTGTGACTGTTGTGTGTTTCTCTGAAATTTAGGTTATAAGGACAGCTCGAGCTGGGGAGTGACATAAGCCTGGTTATGTTGCACTACAACGTCCAGGTTCAGAGTTATACTGCTTCCAGTTTCCTGAAACATTGAAGGTTCTTCCCGTGCAAAACTATCTAAACAGCTTGTAGGAAGTAAAACAAAGCTCTATTTTATTTATCACCAAAAGTTTTCTGTCTGTTTAGTATAAGATTTGTTTTAAATCCACTGACAGTGTATTAATTGTATCATTTGAATTTCCAGGCATATTTAGAGTTCTTTACATCTCCAGAAAATGTTGAAGTTCTAAAGGAAATATTAAAAGAATATCCTTTGGTCAATTACCACATCATTAATTATACGGTAAGTTTTGTCTGTTATAATGGTATCCTATTAATATTAATATATACTAATGTCCTAAAGAAAGTATACACTGTGCATTTTGTGCTGGATCAACCAAAGTCGTTTTTCCATTGTGTATATATATACTACGGTATTTGGGTAGAATGTCAATTTGTTTCACATTTTTATTTTGCTTAGAAATGTTGAGTTTGGACGCAAGAGACAAACTCAGTAATGCTTTATCAAATGTTTTTAATCTAAACATAACTTAGTCATTATTTTTTGTGTGTATACTTTCTATTGGACATTAGTATATGTATTAAATCAGTGATTTTAACATGCTGGGACCTTACACTTGAAAACTTGATAAACAACCTTAAGGATCAGTGAACATTGTGGTTAAGCATTCCTAAAGTCTAGGTTCCATTTGGCAGCTTTGACTTAAAAACTTATGTCTGATATGTTTTTGAAGACGATTGTAGGATTATGGAATCCAAAATAAACTAAAATAGTGACATCCAAGTAAACAAATCAAGCCTGCCATATCAGATATATTATTTCTTTGATTTCTAAGGTAACAATAAGATAAAATGAGTCAGCGAATGTAGCATTTGTAGGAATCAAATGGAGAAAAGGGTTGAATGGAAGTGTTATTTTGGTGGGTTTTTTGTTATAGGGAGAAGCAGATTATACCAACTGTGATGAGTCGGAACCTGTTGCTGTAACGTGGGGAGTTTTTCCTGGTAAAGAAGTACTACAACCAACAGTAGTTGATCCAATAGCTTTTAAATCCTGGAAGGTAATTAATCTACCTTATTTTCAAAAAGGAACATTGTATTCTGAAATCCTCCTGCATCACTGATTTCTGTCTAAAATTCCTATTTTGCGTGTGGGTTCATTTAAGACATCTATATTCCTACCAGATATATTACAATGATATTGACCGTTTACAAAACCTTTGGATTTATGAATGCCCCGACCACTTTTCAGAGTTATATGTAATGTAGAACTAACTGCATTTTTTTCTCTTTTTCTATAGGATGAAGCCTTTGCTTTATGGGTGGAGACTTGGGGTAAACTTTACCCAGTTGAGTCTCAGTCTAGAGCTGTGCTGGAAGATATTCAGAAGAGATATTACTTAGTTAACTTAGTGGACAATGAATTTCCTAAACCATCATGTCTGTGGGAGATTGTCAACAAAATGTTAGCTCGTTCAAAATCTAAACGTGATCTTAGTAAGTTTCAATTACATTTAACATGATTTCATTAAGTAATATTATGGTTGAACTTCTACAAATGAATTGATCCAATAATCCATAATATACAATGTATTCTAATAGTAACTACACAAGAACCACACTTTCAATAGAAAATAAGACTGTAACAAGAGAGCCCCCCCCCCCCAAAAAAAATAAAAAAATGAAAAACATGATGCATTGTATTATTCTGAGGAATATCATTATCAGCTGTGCGTTTACAAAAATTCAGTCTTAGTACATTGAAGAAAATGAGTTAGGTCTGTTAACATTTGCATTTATTATTTTGTAGGTGATTGTGAAAGTGTTGATGAATAAATAGTGCCAGTAGTGCTAAATTGTTTAGCCTATATTATATACGTAGTTAACATTGACTCATGAAATAAACTGTGAGCTTTCTAAGTGCTGTGTGAAAATTAGAACTAAAAGATGGTGTAACTAATATCTTAGCTTTGGTGTCTTGAATGGTGTTGATCTGTTCCTACCAAAATGGTTTGAATTATTTCATATTGGTCCAGTATTAGGAATATTTTGTTTTGTTTAGGTATTGTTTAAGCATGTACACTATTATTGTAAAGTTTTATAATTTGTAAAGCAGAATCAAAAAAGTTTAAGTTTTACAAAGCATAATAATAGTAGCTTTTCCACTACTTTCATGATTTTCAAATAAATTTGGAATACATTTCTATCTACAGTGTAGACATCCTGCTATTTTGGTGGATTTTTTTTTTTTCCTGAAATTTCATTTTATTATAACAAACCTAAATATATGCCAGTAATACTGTACTCAATATTAAGTTTCATCTATATGTCATGATCTCACTCAAGTTATTTGAACAAATCTATTCACATTATCAATCCAGTAGAAATATGATAATATCCATATGACTGATATTATTTTACATAGGATTTAGTTTTGTATATATAATATGTAAATATATATAAAAATAACATTTATTTGTTGTGTTAAAGTATTAAATTTATATCTTTTGAATATTGAAAATATCTGTTATGTTTGTTTTGTTTTTTTTTATTTATTTGATAAAAGGTATTAAAAGTAAAATGGCTTGAGTATGTTTTTGATTTTAAATGAATTTGATTGAATGGTTAGCAAGAGTTTCTTACTTTTTATCATACATACCATTTAAAACTTGATAAATTTAAATGTGCATGTACATCTATAACTTTATGTGATATTGAGCAAGAACTAATAAACGGAATTCAAAACAATAAGTCTTTTTTAATATTGAAACATTTTCATAGGGTTTCTTGTTAGGACCAGCTAAACTATCTCAACAAGTTTTTCTACACCAACCAGACTAATGCAGTGTGCTATGAGGAAAATTTTGCAATACCACCTTGTTTTCTTTGAATTCTATCTGAAGGACAAGATGCTTTTCTGTGCGATGGCTCCTGTCCCTGCACTACAAAGGGAAAATGATGGAAAACCCAAAGGAAATTTCTTGGCCAACACCAGGAGTGAATCCGATACCTCCCTGGGAGCAACTCAGTGCATACTCACTACACCACCGCAGATCCCATAGTTATAATGGTAACAGTCCTTTTAGAGTATGTGGGTGGGGGAGCTGATTGGTTTAACGCATGCCCTTGACATCATACGGCCTGTCATTGAATCGAGTGGCATGGTTTCAATTCCCCACTCATACGTGACAAGGATTACTGTTTCCTGTCCTACCTTGTTTGTCTTTGGTTTCCTTCCTCTGCTAAAGACCCTACATGCAAGCAAGTTATTGAAATAAAATCTCAAAAACCCTGACCTACAGAGTTGCATACATAAGAGGTAGAGTTGTGTAAGGACAGGGACAATGGCAGGATATAAAGGACACACTACATTTGCAGCTGTTGTCGGCAATATCACTTGGGTGGAGGCGGACATTAAATTAAGCTATTTTGCAGCTCGTGGTGATACTCTGGTTATAAGTTTAAAAACATGGTATGCTAGGGGCATAAGGGGCACCTGGCATTAGCTAAAAAGTCTTGCAGGAAACTGAATCATTACTAGAGGTCTTCTGGTGGAGTAGTGACTTTCATGTAACCAGGGGCATTTTCAGGAATTTGAGCAGGGAGAAGGCGGCATCCAGTTTGACAATGACCACAACAAAAGAACTTCTGGTACTTCACTAAAAGAGGGAGCGAGATGAGGGTTGAAGAACTAGGTCATTTCAGTATAAACATAATTATTATGGTTCAATTTTATTTCAATAATTTGTTAGTCCCAATATGACCTAGTTTGTGTCGAATGGACGTTAAACCCCATTTCCCTCCCTTCAATAATTTATTTGCTTGAGATGGTCTTTAGCTGTGGTTGGAAACCAGGAAAAAAGCGAGGTTAGACACAGGAGACCCTACTCCTTGTCAAATACAAGTGTGGGCTTGAAAACTACGCCACTTGACTCAATGACAGACCTTATGATCTAAAACGCATATGTTAGACCATTTGACGACTCTACTCCATGCTTTACACAGTCTTCTAGTGAATAACATTAGGGTTTCCCCTATAAAATGGGTGTATTATAGTACAAACAGCTAGATAAGTATTGGAGACCATTTAATTATTTTGATATACATCAGAAGGATATTCAAATCTTCACAGATTAGTTGGTATAAAAAATAATTGCACTATCTTCCCAAGGCAAGAATACACTTCCCCAAACACTTAATTTGTGTTACAATATAAGCAAGCTATATTATTCCAACCAAAATTTGGTGTCTGTGTTATAAATTCGTTATTCCAAATATTTAAAAACTACAGTGGCTCAGTGGCAGATTCTCCGTTAATGACAGTATAACAAATTCACTATTCTGTTTCTATGAAACATGTATATTTGAGGTTTATGATAGTCGGGGTGATATATATATATATATATATATATATATATAGAGCTGATTAAATTGAGTGTTACATTCAGATCAAGATATGTGCCACAAATCACCACCGATCTTTCAAATTTTCTCATATCTTGTATGCCTATGATTATAGTGGTTCAGTAGGTATTGTTATTTAAAGTCAGTGATCACATTTTTCAGACAATATCTAATAATTCATGGATTAATCCATGTTACATGCTCTGGAATTGTTTACAATTAATGAAGAAAACAAAACCAAAATATCAATAGTATATCATCCCACAGCTTCAAAGAGAAATCCAAAAGTTTTTACCTTATAGGTGGCACTGGCTTTATTATATCATTTGACACAGATGCCGATGGTTTTAATTTTTTATTTCCTCATATATTTGTAAATACTGAACAGAAATGAACCATTACAGTTGGCAAACAAATATATGATGATCCACAGTTTTAAAACATTAAAGGTCACCGGAAAAGGTTCATAAATTTTTTAAATAATGTAAGTAATTATGTCAACATATCCTTTCCATAAGTATAACGCGAACCCGAATGTCAATATTACCTGCAACAGGTAAATTTCAACATTAGCAATTTCCGCCATTTTCCGTGGGTAGTCGTAACTTTCCGTAAATGTGACGTCATTTTAGTCCTTATTCTCATATTCTAGTCTATATTTCTATGAGCAGAAGGACTAAAATGACGTCACGGATTGCTTATTGACGGAAAGTTCCGACTACCCACGGAGAACGGTGGAAATTATTAATGTTGAAATTTACCTGTTGCAGGAAATATTGACGTTCGGGTTCGGGTTATACTTATGGATAGGATTTGTTGACATAATTACTTGCATTATTTAAAAAAAAATTGATGCTTTTCCGGTGACCTTTAATAAGAGAATAACAAACACCAAGTCTGGGGGCTTGATCATGTTTCTACAATTAGAGAGAGGCATTGAGCAGAGCTATTAACGGTTGTCTCCCTTTAATGTAGCTTTGATAACTTGCCTTGAGAAGATGTTAACAAACATACTAGAATAAATATAGAGATAATCACATACATCACATAAGGTAAAACATTACAAATAGAGAATATAAAACAATTACACTGTATTTTACCTATAGTAACCTTTCACTTTAAATTATATACAAAAATAATAAACGGACAGCTAAGACTTGTTCTATACTGAGATGCAATGAAACCCCATCACTAATTTTACTGAAAGTGCTAGCAAGACACATGTGAATTTTGGTTTGATTTTAGACTGCACTCGAAACAAGAAAATCAACAACAATCCATATAGGCTATAACTTTACTTTAGACTGAAACATAGGCCTGAGTAAAAGTCCAAAGTCAGTGACACATTGGGTCAGATTTGGCGAAAGCAACATTAAATCATCTGGTACACAGTTAGAACTTTACTTAACACAGTGAAACATAGGCATAGGTAAAAATATATACTAAGTGACAAGTTGAGTCAGAATTGGTGTGACATTCGGCCATCTGCCACGTAGTCTGGCTGAGTGTAGTTGGCGACAAACAGTGTCAGCACTGATGAACTTCTGTGGAGCCCTCACAGTAGCAGCAGTATGGGATAATAGCACTGTGCGATCCTGCAGATGTTGCTGGATAGTGTACTGGTACTTATTCCCTCTTGAATTAACACAATGGCACGTTCTCTATGTACAGTCGGCATATCATTCCACAAAACTGTAAGATTTGTATTGACCCTGTAGAATTCAATTTTTTGTGTTTGAGAGAATTTATTTGTGGTACATTTACATGATTGTGAAAACGTCATTCTCACATGCTATCGTTCTGATCTGATTTCCGAGATTTACAATCATCGATTTATAAAAGTGCGGCTTTTTCATTGCATTTTAATATCAAGTCTCATCTGTGTTCTATATCCAGCCTCGTCTCTATTCTCAGAACAAGTACTGATAGATAGAAAGATAGTCTCGAAGGACAAGAGAAAAAGATTAGTATTGAAGGACAAGAGAAAAAAGTACCGATAGAGAGAAAGATAGCCTCACAGGACGAGAGAAAATGATTAGTCAATTTTCTAGACAATAAAGAAATTTTCATATAATTGAATTTGATCTATTTGACTGATTATACTAGTTGTCTACATAAGTTATAGCAGGCCGGGAAACAATCATTTTATATGTACAACATTACAATAAATATAACAGTTCTATGGAAAACAATTACTGTATTTTTAATCGAAGCTACGTTTCTACAATGATATTCTTGTCGTTTTCAATCACAATACTGATTCAGTGAGAAAGATCGACTAAATGTTGTTTAAACAGTATTTTAAATGTTCAGGACATTTCTAACTTTGTGCTGGACATGAATTTAAAATTTTAACAAAACATAGGCATTAATGCTAGGTTTCTACTATCACGCTACGATTGAAATCATGGTTTTAATTGTGGTAATCCTGTCAGGTCTTATGATATATTGATGTCAGTCATGGTAATCTTGCTGATCGCATCGAAAATTATCAGAACTATCTTCAAGTACCAGATCGTAGACTCAATAGGGGGAATCCTATTTTAACACATCACACGACAGTGGGAACCTAGCATAACCAAATTATTAACTGATAAAATGCCAGGCCCAGAGAGATTGTGTCTGACAGAGCCTGTATTTAATGTACCTGACATTGTCTGTGATAGTTAGTATATTCACAGGCATGTTATAATATCATAAACTGTTTCATTTATGATCGATAATTAAGGATGCTAGTGCAATAAGGTGGACAAGTGTCATTTCACACAACCTGCCAAAAATAGTATTTTTGCATATTTTTAGACCAGTACACTAAAATTGACATATACTCTTCAAAAAAAGTAGGGGATATTCAGAAACAATACAAAACTGCGGAATGCACTGCTGTTTTTAATAGAGGTAACCATTGTATGTTAATAACAGGCCAATTGCCTACACATGAACATAAACAGTTCTTATGGGCAGCTTAACTGACGGACCCATTTCACTCGCAAAAAGATGCACCTTCAAAAGTGAAAATGGACATTTTTGATTTTTGTCTTAATAATAAGTAATTGCTCCACCAACCCACAGACATTCAGCAATTCGTCGTGGCATGCTCCTAATTAACCGTCCAATCACGATTTTGGGCAATATGACCCACTCCTCTTGCAGTACCACGGCCAATTCTTGGTTGACGTTGATGTCGACGAACACGTCTCCCGATCAAATTAAACGTAACACACTAAAGCAAAGATACACTAAATAGTAAATCTTATGCAAGAACAGATAGGAAAGCAAACATGGATAGGATAAACCAGCAAGCGGCAGTTTTCATCAACCCTACCACGTGTATGGCGCTATCGCATGTCGCACATGCAGCTCAGTGGTTCTGTTGGGGCGATAAGTTCTTCATCTGTGAACATACTCTCAAAGCATGTCAAGTGTCCATGACTATTTATCATATCACAACCTGCATAGGTATTTGCATTTTAATATCCCCTACTTTTTTTTGAAGAGTATATATTGTGATAAGAGGAATCAGAATGATAAAAATGAACAAGTTGTTAAGGAAATCTACTAAAAATGGACTTAAAAACAACAGCGCTTGGTCACCTTATTGCATTAGTATCCTCAATTAATATTTATTCAAATTGAATTATCTAAATATGAAATCTTACAGATACAATGTATATATCATAATAATAATATATTGAATTTGTACTTAATTTTAAATAGCCATAATGCCAAAATGTTATTATGATGGGCTTTTCCTTTTTATTAATATATTACATAATAGTTCTAACATCATAAAAGCCTCACACCTCACTCTAAGGAGGAAGGAGGTGCAGGAAGGAGGGCCTGACAAGGACAGCTGTCTAGTCATTTGGGTGGGATGAAAAACTGAGGTCCCGTGTATACATTGGCATGCACGTAAAAAATCCCTTAGCAGTTCGAATTCGATATAAGAGTAGGCCATAGTGCCACTGCTCAGGCAAAATTTCCCTCATAGCACACTGTATGGCAAATGCCCGTCTTCATTAGCCCAGTCAGAGCAGAACAGTGGAATATTAAACCCCATTTCATTCATTTCTCTCTCTTTAAATAATAACTCAGTAATAAATATACAGGTTAATCCGATAAATATCAACATGTCATACAATGAACTCAAACCACTCTCACTGGCAGACAGATGGCTGAATTCCATTCATTATCATACAAAAAATTTACATCAAATCACAAATCTCTTATTAATTAAATAACTCATCACTCATAACTGCAGCACAGAAGTTTACCCAAGCATGGATCAATTGAATAATCATTTTTACTGGAAAATCTTAAAAAAAGCACTGACAAAAACACTTTAATACCGTAATCTTAACATAGATAAAGTAGGAAAAAGTACAAAACGTGAAAAACAACAAACAAAATTACATAAAAAATGGATGTAAAAGTTAAAGCAAATACAGGTTCCACAATAGAAATATTACTAACTGCTACTGCACTGTACATCATTCAGTGATACAATACAATTATCTATATATATATATATATATATATATATACATAGACCTTCATTTTGATATTTTTAAAAACAGAAATACATGTGTAACATCTATTTAAAAGTAAGTAAAAGACATAAATAACAATTGATTATGTTAGTAAATTCTATGCTCTAATCTGATTGTTGATCCTGTCACATTTTTACCGCCAAAAACTCCCAAATCATATTTTGTTCCAAATATGTTTTCTGTTCCAGAATATCCACTGACATCAAAGTCAAACATAATACCTAAAATCACATTAAGCGCTGACATGTCAAACCAGTGACATCCTGAATATCTATAATAAGGTTTACGCCAATTACATCCCGAATTTTGAGCTCCAGTGGGACTAATACACTCTTCAACCAAAGCACATTTCACCCACGGTAACATTAGTTCTTTGTGTATTTTTTCTGTGTTATAAATTATCAAATGACTTGAACGAACTGCTCTATGAAAATAGTATCTGTCTTGTTTTGTCTTAAAATAATCAAACATTTTCGGATGAGTTAATGAAGACGTGGGATCTTTAATTGTCCACGCCACTAATCCTACGTTTAATGCTTGAACGAGACTATGATTCATTTTACTTGTTAAAAAATATTCACTAGTGTCTGCCCATATAACAGCTCCAAATTCATTTAACAGTTCCTGAAATATCAAAAATAAATCAATAAAGAAACAAAACAGTGAGATAATCTTTATTTTTAAAAAATTCAAACTATTTATCGGTCTTATTCCTTTATAATAGCTTTAAAACAGAATTAAAGTTTTCAAAAATATCATTTAAGATTCTTTTCAACTACATGGACCAAAATCTGCTTGTCCAATCATCCTGACAAATATAAATTCATTAGGGAATAGTGGATTTCGTAATGAATTTGTTTGAATGATCAAGCACGGGAAAGGTAGATAATTTGGGACTGTAGGTAATACAGGCACTCTCTTTTATGACCTTTCTATGATGGAAATTTTGCCCGGCACTATGACCTACTCTTATTTATATCAAATTTCAACTGCCAAGGGATCTTTTATGCACATTCCAATGTATACATAGGAACACAGTTTTCCATCCCATCCAAATGACTAGACAATTGTCCTTGTCAGGCCCTCCGCAGGCCCTCCGTCCTGCACCACTGACAAATGGAAACCACGTCGGAAAATCCTGATGAACTTTCTCGGCATCTTACCCACTTAGCCACTGTGGCTCCCTTTTTCAGAAACTGACTTCTACCAGTTCCAATAACAGATGTAGTGTGAACAGAACCATAACGTACACATGAAATGAAATGGAGTTTAACGTCCTACTTTTCTGCTCTGACTGGGGTAATGAAGACGGACGTACACCATACAGTGTGCTATGAGGAAAATATTGCCCGGAAGACGGCACTACAGCCTATGGTCCGAACTATATGTTGTTCCTTGCCAGGTCCTCCAGCCTGCACCACTAACAAGGGAGGATCACGTCAGATATTGTAATCTAACATGTTGTTGGATGAGATGTATAACAGTAAGGTCATACTTTATCACCTATAATTCACTTGATTGTAAATCTTTGTGGAATTGGAAGACTTAAATTAGAGAGAGAGAGAGAGAGAGAGAGAGAGAGAGAGAGAGATGGAGTTTAACATCCACTCGACACAAACTAGGTCATTTCGAGACTTACACATGGTTCAACTTTATTTCAATAATTCGCTTGCGCGTAGGGGTCTTTAGCAGTGGGAGGAAACCGGAGGACCCAGAGAAAACCCACGAGGTTGGACAGGCGACCCTACTCCTTGTCACGTACAACCGGGGAATCAAAACCCCGCCAGTTGACTCAATGACAGACCGTATGATACAGCGCAGCGCGCACGTGCTAACCATTCGGCCATCCAACCCCCCAGACTTAAATTACAGAATGTTCGAGAAATCTTAAAGTATAAAATATTTACCTGTATACAAATTGGTTTATAACTTCTTATACTAAGATCTTGTACATGAGAAGGATATTTTTTGAATAGGAATGGTCTTACTGAGCAATTTGTTGTTTCATTACATAACTTCTTTGTCTGAAAGGAGAAAACAATACTATATAATAAGTAACAGTTTAATCGAATCTTTACAAAAATAATTCTGTCTTAATTAGCCCTAATGGAAAAGAAAAGTAGGACATTATACCCCATGTCATTTCACAGAAATAATGTTGATCTGCTCTTTTTGAAAGTCTGCCATACTTCTTGCTATAACGACTACATAAAACTTTGACAACTTCGTCTGCGTGTTTAAACAAAAGGAATATGACTATAGACTTAAAGATACATTATGTAAGATTTAGATAAAGAAATGGACATTCTTGCTATAATAGTTCAAAAATAGATAATGAAAATTAAATATTATTGAAAATTTCATTCAAATTACTTTTATCTGAGGGATGTTTTGAGTGTTGGAAGATGCAGCATAGATTGTTTATTAGCGTATCCATGAAACTGGAAAAATGAGACTAAGTCAAATTTATCGCTAATTTGTTTTTTTAAATCCAGGGGCGTTCTAATCCATTTAAATCTCAGCCATCTGATGACCTAGAGAGTTGATTATGTCTAAATAATAGTTTATATAACATTTGAAGCCAAAATAAAGACCTGATTTAGATCTTACATAAAGCATCTTTAATGAAACAAATATCCACTGTAGAAAACACACTTTTGGATCATATCTAATTTACATGCTTTTAGCAAATCACAAAATTCACTGCTATGGTTTGCTGTGACTAAGAATATAAAGTATTTATGCACTAACCCATTATTAGGAAGAAAATGATTTATAACTGAGCAAACAAAAATGTCACTTTGGAAGAGAAAAATCTTCATACTGGTATGTTTCAAAATGCAATCATTAGGTTTACTAACGTTTACTAAATTAAATCTGTCAGTGTCATACATTCATTACAAGATGGACAATCATGATCTAGTCCTGGTAGGGTATACTTACAATTATCATATTACTACTAGAAAGACCCATATCAAATAATACAACTTTTCTTGTAGGAACATGTTTACGAGTTGCTTTTAAAAACTCCTTTGTTTCTTCCTCCTTGCCTGGTATCATGGCACTACCAACTATTAATTTTACATTACTAACAATAACATTACTACTATCTTCAAAACCCAATACTTCTAAATATGACGAGTCTACTTCCAGTTGCTGGGCAGTTGTTAGCTGCATATGTTTGGGGATTTTTCGAATATTATTTTGGGTGGTGGTCATAATATTCTTGAATCTCGGTGAAGGATAGCTGACCATCCATAGTGAAACACTAGTCACTGCTATAAATATTACTAATATGTAAAAGTTCTTTGTCTTCATTTGTTCTATCCAAGAACCAGAATGCCCCTTCATGGGTAGCCACCAAAATAATACTTTTACCCAGAGTAATGCAAATGCACACATCAAATCAACATAAGGCTTTCAGAAATGCATTTTAATCTGAAATAGAAAAAGAATAATATTACTTTTACTATTTAGATTAAAGATAGGTTGCCAGGCAATGAAACATACGCCCACAGCAGCTACATCGTCCGGGCAGTCAACAAGAGTTGTCGCATATTTTTACTTTTTTCGGTAATGAAACATTTATAATACATCAAAATCTGATTAAGAGTAACAACTCATTAAGTAATTATCAGAAATCCATTAGAATTTGTTCAGTTTTTATAAAGTTCTGCGCCTGCTAACATTTAGTATACGAAACTTTTAACATCATGGATTTAGCTGTTCAAGTCATAAAGATTCATTAAAAATCAATATATACTTGTTCGTCTTAAGACCTTTAACACCGTGTATAAATTTAAAATCAATCGGATATTAACTTTAGCCTCTGGAGCGTCCACAAGATTTTTCAAAGTGATCAAGGGCCATTACTCTGGCAAAAATTTATCGTTTCATGACCTTAAACACTGTGTATAAATTTAAAGTCAATCGGATATTAACTTAGACCTTTAGAGCATCCACAAGATTTTTTGAAGTGATCAAGGGCCATAACTCTGGCAGTAATTATCGAAAATCGTTGAAAATCAATAGTCTTCTTCGTTTCATGACCTTAAACACTGTGTATAAATTTAAAGTCAATCAGATATTAACTTTTGCCTCTAGAGCGTCCACAAGATTTTTTGAAGTGATCAAGGGCCATAACTCTGGCAGTTATTATCGGAAATCGCTGAAAATCAATAGGATTCTTCGCCTCATGACCTTAAACACTGTGTATAAATTTAAAGTCAATCAGATATTAACTTTAGCCTCTACAGCGTCCACAAGATTTTTTGAAGTGATCAAGGGCCATAACTCTGGCAGTAATTATCGGAAATAGCTGAAAATCAATAGGCTTCTTCGTTTCATGACCTTAAACACTGTGTATAAATTTAAAGTCAATCGGATATTAACTTTAGCCTCTAGAGCGTCCACAAGCAATTGTGGACGCCAGACCGACGGACGGGGGAGACGACAATATACGACCACATTTCAATGCGGGCGTATAAAAAGATATTTTGCCATAAAAAAAATAATATGCCCACCGGCCCCACAGCAGCTATGTTGTGAAATCTTCAAATTCTAAAATTTCAATGGTGCATTGACAGAAACTACAACATAATCAAGGGTAATACAGTCGTTGTTTTTTGTATTTTAGAGGAGAGCCGAATAGATCTCCCCTTAATGAACAAATTGAAAAAATCACACCACTAAAAAGGTTCTTCCAGTTTCGATAAGAAGAGTGATTTAGAAATTAAGGAGAGTGATCTGATATTAAGGAGAGTGATTATTTGTATTTATGGGAAATGGTTACATAAAAAAAGATGACAATAAACATCGTCTGCTAAATAATAGTACTCGTACAGTCAAGTCAAACTTTTGCTATCGTCTGAAACTACTTACGGTATTCCAACAGAAATACTTGTCAACATTTCTAAATAATATAGCTTATATAAATTTTGTTTAAAAACATAATCCCTATTCAAAATATAATCATAAATGCTCAAAATTTCCATCAAAATATAATCTATTTCTTCCGGAATTATTCCCATTGGAAATTTTTAATGTGCCATCTCTCGTAATGTCTCTCATCTAGCGATAGTTCTACATTTCAGTTAAAGTAACAAATGATGCATTCATCAGAATTTTATTACCATGTGCGATCACATTATACACTAATCGAATACACCAAATGAATGTTAACAATGACAGCATGATGTCGATCAAAATGTGAATCTTTCACACTCTTTTTCAAAAAGATACACATTATGTCCATGATTTACAAATAAAGGAGAGCGATTTTTAATTTTAAGACGACGAAGAAAAACCTCCCCCAGTCTCATTCAGGTGCGCAGCAGGCATTCGCGAGCGACTGCATGCCTCAAAAAACAATGACTGGTAATAACCCTAGAGGTAATAATCAGAAATAGTTGTAATTGTGACTCATTACAAAAACACGAAACAAAGAAGACAAATTTAAAGAAAATCAGATGTTGATTTTTGATTTTAAAGCACTTTAAAGATTGGATAAGTGAACCAGGGTCAATACTTTAGTAGTTATTAACAGAAAATATTTTGCTCTCTATTTTGGTGAAATCGGGGATTTCCATTAATACACATACATACAGTCAATCGGTGTGAATTCCAGGGACATATACCTCCAAAAATTGCGAATGAGAGTCATGTGACACTATTCCGGAAAAGAATTATGACATTAACCAATCCTGATCGAGATGCTAAAAGGTGTCACGAAAAAAACACTCTAATCAAGATACCAGAAACATTTAAACAAGACCTTCAGAAATGATCAGCTTGTCTGTTTTGAACTTAATTACCACTAAATATTGTGAATATTAAAGGAGCTAAATCGCTAATATCAAGGATCTGGAAATTGACACAAATGGGTCGCAACTATATAATAATGTAGTGTGAATGTATATAAACTGATTTACATTCAATCATTTCTGTTTTTACTGCAATTTCTAATCAGTTATGTTCGGCGAAATATGCCAGAAGTCTCAATCCAATGGCAATCTATAGCGTCTGGTTATTCCACTCTATACTGATAGTATTTATTGCACATGCTCTCCAGATAACAATATGACGTCACCGTTTGACATGAATTGTGAAATATATCTAGCCTCTTTCTACGAGTCCCTTGATAACAATGGCGCTGAAATGCACCATGGTACACGATTCGTGTACCAACAGTAAAATGTTTATTTTGTCTTAATTATTGGAAATCAGAAGCCCATCTTTTCCACGTAAGATCACAACATCAATGTTGATTTAAATTGACAAATAATTTGTGTTTTCAATGTCGAAGATTTTGGATGATATTGAGTTAGAGACTTAGCTACTTTAAATAATCTTAGACAAAACAATATGACAATTATGATATGCTAAATAGTATATACAAATGTATATTTTGAACTGATTTTAGACAAAAATTAATTACTGTTCTTTGTTTTAATGGTTATACTAGGACACATTGTCAGTCCAGGTTAATGAAATGACAATGCACGTACAGACATGTGACTTGTTTTGAAAATAACCAGTTTACCAAGGATGTCATGGGTGACAGATTTTCACATCTTATTGTCTTAATTCTTGTTTGAGATACGTAGTTTTATATTCACAATTTTTTATAGCAATCACTAATTGTATTCACAGTATGTAATTGTCACTGCTGAAGTACGGTAGTAGCTTATTACTTATTACTACTGTCATACTGGACTGGTAATGTACGGTTTTAATGTTTAATTTGATGGTACACGCTTGGTTTGAGTTTGGAAAAATATTACAGGTTTTTCACGTTATACATTTTTACAAGTTACGGTCGGTAAAGGTGCTTATTGTCGTCCGAGATCGTTTCATATACGAAATATTAAAAGGGAATTGAGACTAATTGATCATTTTTTTTATTTTTTATCATTGATTCATTCGACATTGCTGAATCTGTCATCTGATCTTTTTTATATAGGCCTATATTGCCAATAATACGGTTAATATTCAGGGGTTTAAATGACTTAAGCACGGGTTTTTTGGGTAACGAGATCGGCAAACCACTTTAGATACACCCAATATAACTCACCAAATTAATGCAGGCTGAATGAGTGTAAAAAAAAGACAAAATTGTCTTGAAAGCAATGATAAACAACGTCAAAACGTAGCCATTTTGAAGCAAGGGAAATAATTCATGGAAACGTGGTAGTCGAGAATGTCCAGAACAGTTTTTCAACTGACCGATAAATCTGTTGGGATCAGCGAGTTTGACGCATTTTCCGCAAAATTTATTTATTTATAACATGTAGAATTCTTTTTAGTAAAATCAAAATCAGCTTTTTGGCATTTAAAACTTTTTAATTTTGAGTCTTAGTACTATTCTTTTTATTTATGTAGTTGTTCATCAAAAGGAATTTGTTTTTTGGGGTTTTTTTAAATAAAAATAAAATAGACTTAATAAGTGGCCCCTGTCACGTGAGAAGATAGTTTCGTCTGCTAGCTAGCACTACCACTGATTTGTACAAAACTTGAAAGGCTAAGAAAAGTAATATTGTTATTTGAATATTCTGTATTTTCGGAACATTAGGCAACAGATAATAGATTCCTCTGCTATATCCAATTTATAATTTAATTATTATCTTTATCGTAATGCATTTCAATTTAAATCAGAATGTAAGTGAAATACAAAATTACTGTTACTAACACTGTTACTTATTTAGATTAAAATTACAGTTTTTTAGGCCTAGTGTGACTTAAAAGATAAGTTACCAACCAGGCATTTTAACATCTTGATCATATGTATATGTATCTCCAGATTTGGAGAAAATGGAGACGAAATACAGAGGAATATTTGGATCACCAGCAGAACCATTATTCAATGATGAAAAGCATGGAGTGCCCCCGGACATTTTAAAAGAATGGCTTGTTAACTTAGACAGAAAAAATACCATTTGTGCTGAAAAATCGAATATAAAACAAGTAAAATAAAACTTATTTTTACTTGACTGTGTATAACTAAGTGGATATTAATATTATTATTGTAAATTTATCTCTATATTCCGAACATAAGCTGTTGTTAGACAATTTTAATATATGATTGAGGAATGGCCCCACAGACCTTTCCCTTAGAAAAGACAGACAAACTACAAAATCAATATATTACTCTACCCTCATTTAATTTGAAGTTGAGTAGACAAGAATCACAGCCTACAAATTGTAAACTTTGTACACTACTCACTCACTCCTACGCTTCATGTTCAGGCAAATTTAGGTGAGGGTGACTGATCCTCCTTTTAAGGCAAAGTTTGTATAGATTGTCATATGCTCCTTTCCAACCAAATGCAAGCAAATTTAATCCATGCATTCATGGCCAGGTATTTTGGAGAGAGAGAGAGAGAGAGAGGTGGGTTTTATTTTTAAATAAGGTCCACTGGACACAAACTAGGTTTTTTCCGGACTAACATACGGTTCAATTTTATTTCAATAATTTGCTTGCACGTGGGTATCTTTAGCAGTGGGAGGAAACTGGAGGACCCAGAGAAAACCCACAAGGTTGGACAGGTGACCCTACTCCTTGTCACTTATAAGCGGGGAGTTGAAACCACCCACTTGACTCAATTACAGACCTTATGATTTAACACGCACGGTTTAATCCATTCGGCCACCCAACCCCCCTTTGTGCTTTGTAGAAATTTTTATGAAATGAAATAGGATACAAACATATTTTTCATACCATCCTAAAGACTAGATTGTTTTCCTTGCCAGACCTCCTGTCGTGCACTACCGACTGAAAAATCCAGATAGAAATGTCCCCCTTTGTGGATGCTGAAAGAAGCGAGCTGTTCTCTAGCAATAGTCAGTAGCTTACCCTAAAATCTTATTTTTCTACTTTTTCACTTCAGGGTTTCTTTTACAGATCTGATGCAATAACATTTATATTTAACACATGTGCTAAATTAGAAGTTCCTATAAAGGTGAAATATTATGCAGTAGAATTATTTGAACGGTAAGAAGAAAAAAAAAAGACAGAAAGCATTAATTTTGATGGCATTACTGAAAATTCTATGAACAATTAATTTACCACATTGGGTCCAATTTCTGCGTGGTAGTATTAGGTATTTTAAAGAACTGCAAAACACTATAAATACAGTTTGATTTATTTTTTTATGATGGGTTTGTACAATTGTCTATATACACAAAAACAAAAAAAAATGACATTGATTAGTCTGTCATTTAAAGGGGGCTATGATGGTCAAACAGTTGGACACAAGGCCCTCGACTAGAATGTCTTGGATTTGAATCCCGAATGGGCAGAGAAAACCATTCAGGATTCTTCAAGAATGCTTCTCATGTCAAACCCCATTTTTTTTATTACATTGCCATGCTATGATCTATTTAACCTCTATTGATTATTTTATTGTTTCTAGAGTGTTTAGTTTGACGATACTGTACTGCTGTTTTACAGAACAGAATTATATGTACAGAAATTATTGCAGCTATCGATGGATTGCATTTCACAGATTAATTAATTATTTACATTAATTTTTTGTCTTATAGTACCGAAGCATGTACTAGAATTTATGCCCTACTTATTTTTGCTGCAGATTTATGACAAAACATGTTCAAGATTTGTACAATCATATGAAAACAACGAGTAGTAAAACAAAGCAAAAAGACTGGAATGAGGTCTTAGATAGAGTTCAAAATCAGTTGTTATTAAGACTTGTTTCATGTTGTCAAATTGCCAGCAAGATCACATCCCATTATAAGGTAAGAGAAAATTAAATGAATCTTGCTTGATATTTAATCAACAATTTCTAGATGATTTTGCGATGACAGATGGGATATATATAATAATATTAGTGTTGTGCAAAAATCTAATAACAGCAATATTCATCATTAAAGTGAGACCAATCTTCATTATTGAGTCTAGTATGTGAAGGGAGCCACAGTGGCTCAGAGAGCAGGGTGGTGGCTCACAAACCAGGAGGTCCAGGATTTGGTCCCAATGATGTTAATATCTCAGAAAAATTTATCGATATATGCATAATATTGGTTTTTGGCTGGAACGATCATTGATTGTTATTCACAGAGTTCCTCAGCAATAAAGATGATTCATGTCAAGGTGAAGCTGTTATAAACTGAACTGTGATTGTGAGTAGTAATCATATCTTACAGACTGGGATTCCCAACCAGATTTATCTATTTCTAAGCATGAGAGTCAAACATCTTCACCCAATAAGAGCCCTTTCAGTAATAAGAACATTATACCATAATTACTTATTTCAGGTTATTTCAGCCAAAAAAGCCAAATATTTTCTTCGAGATCTTGGTCTAAAATATTCCTCAACAAGTATATTACAGTCAGAGTTACGTGTTTTAAAAACCTTAGATTTTAATGTTATGGAAACAACACCATTAGTGTATATGGAAACAATATTAGAAATATTAGGTAAGTTATATAAATATATATAGAGAGAGAGAGAGAGAGACAGGGAAAGAGAGAGAGAAGTGGGGTTTAACACCCCCTCGATACAAACTGGGTAATTTTGGGATTAACATATGGTTCAATTTTATTTCATTAATTCGCTTGCGCATAGGGGTCTTTAGCAGTGGGTGGAAACAGGAGGACCCAGAAAAAATACAAATGGTTGGACAGGTGACCTTACTCCTTGTCACGTACAAGCAGGTGGGGAATCGTAACTACGCCACTTGACTCAATGACAAACGTTATGATGCAATGCGCACATGTTAACCATTCGGCCACCCAACCCCCCCCCCCCCCCCCAAGGTAAGTTAGAATATCTTTATTTTCCTTTCAAGTGAGTAATGGGACAAAGAAATCAATGAATGATCTTTAAATGAACAAATGCATAAATTAGATTATAAATAATTTAGTAATTATTATTGATAATATACACAGTACAAAATTCTATGGAGTATAATTACTGTTTATTAATGATCTATATTTTGACTAGGATTGTTAAGTCTTTATCATTCATTTCATAAAGACTAAAGAAACCTAGTCGAAACGTAACTCAGCAAGAAGCAGTAATTGTATCCCATAAAATTGTGTCCTTTTGTGAAAATTGTAGTGGTTAAAGAAGCATTATGTAAGATTTAGAACTTGTTATAATAGTTCAAAAATAGATAATGCAAAATAAATATATTGAAAATGTCATTCAAATTACTTTTGAATCACTATTTGGAGTTTTTACAAGATGTGGCATAGATTTTTTTATTATCATTACAACAGTACTTGTTATTTGAGACTTAGCCTGGTTTTGCCCTTTTTAAATTAAATCATTAAATGGCGACCATATTTAAATCTGTTTAAATCTGATGGTCTAGAGAGTTGATTATAGTCTTGGCATGTGAATAAATGTCTAAATAATAATTTGTATTATATTTGAACTTTAAAATCCAAAATAAAGACCTGTAATACTAATAGGCAGGTTTACCTCTTTCTTAATGCATCATTAATTGTTAAATGCAGAGATATTATTCTGGCTTAATGCACTAAAGACCTACTGTTTGTAATGAGATATTTATACATTTTGTCATTTTCATAATTAATATTTCCAAGGCCAATAAAAGATTCAATGAACTTTATTCTCAGGCCACACCAATTTGATTTTCTGTTCTTCAGGAACACCTGTCAAAATTTTCCTTTTTTTTCTTCGGGAAAGAGACTGTGCTGTTCAAAAGCTTTTTGTTCCAAGTTTTTAAGTTTTGAAATTTTAAACATGATTCAAGTGACTATTTATTTATCAAGATACTGAAGAACATAAATCAAATTGGTGAAGCCTCATTAATAATATATTTATAGGCCTAGGAAGTATATTATATTTGTATTGTATTTATAGTAAGTATGTATATTATGTTTGTATTGTATTTGTAGTATGTATTTTATGTTTGTATTGTATTTATAGTATGTTTGTAATGTATTTATAGTATGTATATTATGATTGTATTGTATTTATAGTATGTATATTATCTTTGTATTGTATTTATAGTATGTATACTACATTTGTATTATACTTATATTATATTTATATTATGTATATTATGTTTGTATTATATTTATAGTATGTATATTATTTTCGTATTGTATTTATAGTATGTATATTATGTTTGTAATGTATTTATAGTATGTATATTATGTTTGTAATGTATTTATAATATGTATATTATGTTTGTAATGTATTTATAGCATGTATATTACGTTTGTAATGTATTTATGTTATGTTTATTATGTATGTTATGTAATGTATTTATACTATGTATATTATGTTTGTAATGTATTTATACTACGTATATTATGTTTGTTATGTATTTATACCATGTATATTATGTTTGTAATGTATTTATACTATGTATATTATGTTTGTAATGTATTTATACTATGTATATTATGTTTGTAATGTATTTATACTATGTATATTATGTATGTTATGTAATGTATTTATACTATGTATATTATGTTTGTAATGTATTATACTATGTATATTATGTTTGTACTGTATTATACTATGTATATTATGTTTGTAATATGTTATGTATTGTATTGTATTTATATTATTGTATTTATATTTGTATTGTATTTATATTATGTATATTATGTAATGTATTTATTGTATGTATATTATGTTTGTATTGTATTTATAGTATGTATATTATACCATATTATGGTTGTATTATGTGTATATTATGTTTGTATTGTATTTATAGTATGCACTAAATCTTACAGGGAATGCAAATTAATAGATTGCATTTCCTTATATTTAAAACAACACCTAACCATAGTAATCTAAAATTATTTGTCAATATTTGATATTTCCAGGCTATAATGACCCAAGTATGTCAGTGAAATCATATCATGCTGTGGCATTGAAAGTGTTAGATGTTGTATATTTAAAGAATACTCAAGTCTATCAGGAATTGTTTCTGGTAATAGCTAAACAGACGACACCTTCCATTAGTAATAGGTAGGTAAAACAAAATCCGACATCTGATCATCAACTCTGGATATAAATCAGTAACATAATGGAATGACATTATTTTTTTATTTCTGAGCAAACAAAATCCAACATCAGCTCTGAAGTCCTACAAATCATTGTAATGAATATGAAGGACATAACTGTCTGGAATCCAGTTACTGTTTATTTCTGAGAAACTTTTGGACGTTTTGAATATGCTAGTCAAACATATTCATGCAAAGAATATAAAAAGGGGCATAACTCTTGAAGTTGTTATCGAAGATTGGTGAAAATCAATAGGGTTCTAGTAGGGTAGCCAATTGATAAATTTCAGCCTACAAACTGTTAACAAGATATCATTACAAGACATATGTCTGGAAGTAAAAAACTAAAAATGTTGAAAATCAGCAGGTATCTAGACTCCATTTAAAGTAGTTAAGTCTTTAACTCAATATCTTCCACAGTCTTCGACATTGAAAACACTTATTAATTTTCAATTTAATCAACATTGATGTTGTGATCTTACCGGGAAAAGATGGGCTTCTGATAAGCAATATTTAAGACAAAAAAAATATTTTACCATTGGTACACGAATAGTGTCCCAGAATGCGTTTCAGCATTATTGTAACAAGGCACTCGAAGAACAAGGCTAGACATATTCCACAAGTCATGTCATATGGTGACGCCATATTCTTATCAGGAGAGCATGTGCAACGAATACTACCGCTGTAGACTGGAATAACCAGATGCTAGAGATTGCCATTCGATTGAGACTTCTTGCATATTTCGCCGAACATAACTGAATTGAAATTAGAGTAAAAATGGAAATCATCGAATGTAAATCAGTTTATATAGATTCATATTATATTATTATATGCGTTGCAAGCCATTCGTGTCATTTACTAGGTGCCAAATATTAGCAATTTAGCTCCTTTAAATGAGAATCACAAAAGACAACCCATATCAATTTCAAAAAGCTATATGGATTATTGTAGCTTCAGGTGTGAATGTGATAGCAATATATTGTCACATTAAAATGTAACAATGGATAATGCTTGCTTCTTTTATTTGCTATAGTATTAAAAGCTAACAAAAATAACTTTATTGGAAAACGAGTGAAGATCTATATTTTATTACATTGATAAAAATATATATATAGACCTGTTCTTCTCTTAGCTGTTGGATCTTGTATTAGAATTTGGTCTGTCCGACAGATTTACTTGGAAATTTGGTAATAAACAGTTGAAGATAATGTAATAGATTTATTGAGAGCCTTGTGGATGTTAAACCACATTTCATTTATATTGTTCAATTCCAGGGCAGCATTTATTCAAGTGAAATGTGATAAAATGTTTTTGGCTATATCTGTGTTAACAGCAGCTGTATATATTGTTGATCAGCCTATGACAGATAAGGTTAGTATTAAAAATATGCTGATCTCGCTATTTAACACACCATTATCTATTTATATGATTTTTATACAAATATCATTGATTACCTGGTTGTTGAACTCTTTCGTGAACGTTTCTTCTTCACACCTGCCTACCAAGCAGATGACATGTTTTAAAATATGTTAAGCCATTTAAATCACCCCTAAGCCATTAAATCTTTCATCATGGTCACATGTGCAATGTTTGGGAGGATAGTTTAGTTTTTTTTATCATGCCATCCAAATTACTAGACAACACTACTTGTTTGTCGGGCGGGGGGGGGGAGGGGATTGGATGGCCGAATGGTTAGCGTGTGCTGTGTGCGTTGTATCATGAGGCCTGTCATTGAGTCAACTGGTGTGGTCTCGATTCCCCGGTTGTATGTGACAAAAAGTAGGGTCGCCTGTCCAACCTTGTGGGTTTACAGCATTATATCAATCTACAGTTCAATTTCTTTGTGTTTATACATTGCCAGTCATTTCATTGACCGAATCAAAAGCTGAGGTCTACAGACATACCTGTGTGTTGTTATATATGTATGTATTTTGCATTTTTTTTTCAGGTGATGATGTTAAACCCCATTTCATTTCATTTCATTTTTTTCAGGTGATAGACCATTTAAATAAAATAACTAAAAGACCGTGTGATGATATTCTGGATTTTGCTACTGTGATAGTTCAAAGTGTAATAGAGGGAAGTGTCAATACCGACTAGAGAAGAGAAATAAACAAATCCTAAGAAATTAAATTAGGTTTTGAAACTATAAAATGCTATTTAACAAAGGGTGGGCTTGTGAGATATGGTGAATTAAGAAGCACAAGGGTTAATGTCTGCTCTCTCTGGGGAGCCAGTCAATATCTGGAGGCAAGTCCGGTGTAGTGTAGTAAAAGGAGGATGAGTAAGGAATTCACAGCCCCTATCCCAGTAACGAAGGGTACAGTCGTACCTTTTGAGATCAAATAACTTATATAAATTATCAGGAACACTGACTGATGAATTGTTGCCACCTAGTTGGCAGTACAACGACAAAGAACCTAAATGCCATTCTGGCTCCAAAATAATGGGTGGCACCTGGGTACAATGTCGCAAGGCTCAGGCATTGTCTTGCTATGAGCCACAGCTCTCAAACACAACCGCATCTTCCAGGGCCACCCGACTTCACTTCAATTTGGAATGTTCTATCCACGTTCGCACCCCAGGAGTGTTGAAGTAAACTTTAATCGTCACTGAGTAGAACATCTTTTCCACCCAAGTAATATTTTGTATCTGTTCTAATGTGGAGTAGATTGAGAACCAGAGGTCGCAGTGGATCAATTTCGAGTTCCGTAAAAATACGCAGACATTCCAAAATTTATTAATAAACTTGTACACTAAAAATTCAACGTAATTATAAGAAAATGTACTAAATGTTGTTTCTTTGAATCTGTTATTATTTGGTATTTACTTACAAAGCAAATGCCAGGTTTAACATTTCATGCAATTTTAATATATCTCCGGTGAGTTTTTGTTTTTTGTCCCATTGTTTGCAAGTTATGTAAAGTTATCTAATCTGATCACCTTCAGATTTATTATTAATTCTTTTGTTGATGAGAATATCTGTGATCTTCAGTATAAAAATTCTTAAAATGTCTTAACTAAATCTTAAACTGCCAACCTCTTCAATATTTTCATGATTTACTTTCTTTTCAATAATGTCCTTTAACTTTAACAATTCCATCATTTATTTTGTATCTAATATGCCGATATTCTACTTTATACGCAGTTTGTCAAATTTATTCGTTGTTGGAAAATTATTTGTGCACATACAGCGACCAAATCAACTAGTAATATGAGTCATTGCTTTAACACATAATTCTTTTAGTTGTGTATGCATCGTATTGGAATTTCAGAAAAAAAGTTAATGCTGTTACAAAACTCTTTGTTATTAATGATAATATAGTTCATATATATATGTTACTTTAGGATTCTTCACAACATAATATCAAAAAATTCTTCCAAACTTCTACAATGTAATAAGCTGGAAATTTTGTAGTAAATATAAGTAGGGTCGCCTGTCCAACCTTGTGGGTTTACAGCATTATATCAATCTACAGTTCAATTTCTTTGTGTTTATACATTGCCAGTCATTTCATTGACCGAATCAAAAGCTGAGGTCTACAGACATACCTGTGTGTTGTTATATATGTATGTATTTTGCATTTTTTTTTCAGGTGATGATGTTAAACCCCATTTCATTTCATTTCATTTTTTTCAGGTGATAGACCATTTAAATAAAATAACTAAAAGACCGTGTGATGATATTCTGGATTTTGCTACTGTGATAGTTCAAAGTGTAATAGAGGGAAGTGTCAATACCGACTAGAGAAGAGAAATAAACAAATCCTAAGAAATTAAATTAGGTTTTGAAACTATAAAATGCTATTTAACAAAGGGTGGGCTTGTGAGATATGGTGAATTAAGAAGCACAAGGGTTAATGTCTGCTCTCTCTGGGGAGCCAGTCAATATCTGGAGGCAAGTCCGGTGTAGTGTAGTAAAAGGAGGATGAGTAAGGAATTCACAGCCCCTATCCCAGTAACGAAGGGTACAGTCGTACCTTTTGAGATCAAATAACTTATATAAATTATCAGGAACACTGACTGATGAATTGTTGCCACCTAGTTGGCAGTACAACGACAAAGAACCTAAATGCCATTCTGGCTCCAAAATAATGGGTGGCACCTGGGTACAATGTCGCAAGGCTCAGGCATTGTCTTGCTATGAGCCACAGCTCTCAAACACAACCGCATCTTCCAGGGCCACCCGACTTCACTTCAATTTGGAATGTTCTATCCACGTTCGCACCCCAGGAGTGTTGAAGTAAACTTTAATCGTCACTGAGTAGAACATCTTTTCCACCCAAGTAATATTTTGTATCTGTTCTAATGTGGAGTAGATTGAGAACCAGAGGTCGCAGTGGATCAATTTCGAGTTCCGTAAAAATACGCAGACATTCCATAATTTTGCGTTTTTGCCCTCTACATCTGCGTGAAGAGCCTCTCAAAATACTCAATATAGAAGCATGTAAAGTCGTTTTGTGAACAACCCTGTTTTAAGCGTCCTTATTTTATTGATATGCCTACTGTATTTAGTCTAATGATGACTGGAGGTTAACGGCATGTCTACGGTTGACGGCACAGTCATTTCAATCTTCTATTCGACAGGAGGTAAAGAGAAATCTATCGCTATGAAAGCCAACATTTGATTGGCTGAATGTAAACAGTATGTCTTGTTTTAGCCAATCCCAAGTCTTGTATGAAATGCGCTTTATTGCTTCCAATAGGATAGCTACGTAGGCTTACTGCCATGAACTTATGAATGAAATAAGAGGAAATATAAAAAAAACTGGAGACTACGTACAGTCGAGGTGTGTAAATGCCGGGTGAAGCACATCAATTGTACAAACTACGACATAGAATAATCTAATTATTCTCACGTCGGGGACATTTTCTGCGTGTAAATTACGCAGCGTCCATCAATATTTGTGTTTATTTTGAACAAAATGTGTGAAATAAGAGGAAATATAAAAAAAACTGGAGACTACGTACAGTCGAGGTGTGTAAATGCCGGGTGAAGCACATCAATTGTACAAACTACGACATAGAATAATCTAATTATTCTCACGTCGGGGACATTTTCTGCGTGTAAATTACGCAGCGTCCATCAATATTTGTGTTTATTTTGAACAAAATGTGTGAAATACGCGTATTTTTGCGTGACTGCGACCTCTGTTGGGAACACAAGTGCTCTATTGGTGGGGGGTTGGGTGGCCGATTGATTAGCATGTGCACGCCCAACTGGCGTGGTTTCGATTCCCAGCTGGTTGTACGTGACAAGGAGTAGGGTCGTCTGTCCAACCTCATGGGTTTTCTCCAGGTCCGCCGGTTTCCTCTCACTGATAAAGACCCCTACGCGTAAGCGAATTGTTGAAATAAAATTGAACCATGAGTTAGTCCCGAAATGACTTAGTTTGTGTCAAGTGGACGTTCAACCCCATTTCTCTCTTTCTTGATCTATTGGTGGAACTCAGTTTATTTGTGAGAACTTTCCTTTCAACCACACAGTGATCACAGTCTACTATAAGCTTAAACTTTATCGTTCTTAGCTTTTCTTTCACCTTTAGCATAATTTTAGCCAGATCTGATAAAGTTAGAACTTAAACATTAAACAAAAAGAAGTACCGGTATTCTACTGTGGGTTGTACCTATTGACCTTTTGTAAATGAAAGTTGGATGCAGTTGTGTCCAGTTTCACACAAGGACAGGAGCTCTGGGACCAAATATCCTTTTCTGTCTTCTAGAGATTTTTAATGTGTGCGCTAAAAAACTGGATGCAACTAGATGCTGTTAGTTGGTTTGCTATATAGCGCTCACATCTGTTGCATCACATATGATAGCATTGGCTCAATTGTAAGGAAGGTTTACGCTAGGTTTTGGGAATCTTTACAAAAGACAGAAATGGCAACATAAGCTCAATAATAGGTTAGAAAAAACAAAATTAAAATAATTACTTTTATAGACTTTATTTTTAACAAAGCTTAGATACAAGAATGCATAATTAATACCACAAATAATAAAAGTGATAAAGAAAAGAATATAATATCCGAAAGGCTACTTTTTAGAGTTGCTACCTTAACGCAACTTGTAGTGTCAAGTTATTCCTTGTAATATATTTATGACAAGAGATTAAAAAAAAAAAAAGAGAGAAAAAAAAAATTAAATCCTTGGTAAATAAAAGTAAAGTTAAAAGATATTTCATCATCATTAATTTTAAATCATTTTTGGACAGATAAGCACCAACTCTCAGCTTTAAGTTCTCCATTATGAATCGTTGGTTTGGATGGACAAATTGAATGATGTTGTTTTTCTGATTCCAAGTAGCTACCACTGTCGGATATGAGCAGTATAATATTGTTAAGGCAGCATTACAAATGGCACCTCCAAGCCATATTTTTAGTTTTCTTTTCAATGAAAGCACCAGGTTTATTATTAATATCTTATCCACCAACTACAGTACACAATAAAATCTCGGGTTCAACTTACAAAAACCATTCCATTGTAAAATCTTTTAAGTATTTTGTTCACTTTTTAATTAAGTCCAACTTGCAAACATGGTTTATGATGGTGCTTTCCTGAATTTTGCCCCAAATATATTTCTAATTTGTGTCTTAATTTGTTGAGTAATGGCAAGTGAATTGATCAAAACCAGATTTTTATGAAAAAAATACACTTTTATTTTGAAAACCTATATTTCATTCTTTTAATTTTGAATAAATAGTTTTTGAAATTTTGAATAGTTCAAGTCTTCAAATTGTAATTTTCCATAAATTCCTTCAGTAAAATTTATGAACAAGATGATTTTGTATGAGATTTTGCGACTGTAGTTGTATCGGTTATAAGGATAGAATGTAATTCCTTACTCCACAAATCATTTCATATCATTTGCGTCTCCTTGGCTACTTGAAATTTTACATGATGAAGTACATTTTTTAATACAGTTTGAAATAACATTTATAGTTAGAAATCAGATTACAGAAAATAAAAATTATATGGATAAAAATCTAATTTGTCCTGTTCGTTTTGGGCCATTAATCCTTGTTATCATATCAACCCCGTTTGTGTTTGCTACGTTTGTGTTCACATGCTGGGGTTTACCGCAGTGTGATTTGAAATGACAAACGGTAGCTAACACGCCTGTGTTCTCTTCTACTGAACACGGGACAGATTTGTGCTGTATGTTTTAAGAAAGGTGTCACCAGATCGTTTAACTCTTTATTGCTCAACTCGGTTTTTACACAACTTGCTCCATAACTTAAAATACTTTGTTTGGTCTATGTTGACAAAATATTGATCCTGTTCTAAAATGCATATTTTACTTTGAGCAATGGCAACCAGCCATTATAAATTTGGTTAAAAACTAAGAAAGGCTAAAAAAATAAAATAAAAAATGTTTTCAGATCTTTCATGGAATTACACTTTACTCAAAATCATCATTGAAATTGTGATAAATGTATCCATAAAATTTTAGATTTTATTATGAAAGCCAAAGAAGAATTTTGTAGTCGATGCATCTATACAAAATTTAGTAAGAAAACAAAATGAACAGAAGGAATTAAATTAGATCTGATAACTTCTTAAAATATTTTTGATGTTATTCAAAACAACAGATACCGGATATAACAAACATTTTAATAAAATTCACAACTTTTTAAAATGTGTTCAGATGTTGTTTTTTTTTTAGATGAATTTGATAATATTCAAACATTATTAATAAACTTGTACACTAAAAATTCAACGTAATTATAAGAAAATGTACTAAATGTTGTTTCTTTGAATCTGTTATTATTTGGTATTTACTTACAAAGCAAATGCCAGGTTTAACATTTCATGCAATTTTAATATATCTCCGGTGAGTTTTTGTTTTTTGTCCCATTGTTTGCAAGTTATGTAAAGTTATCTAATCTGATCACCTTCAGATTTATTATTAATTCTTTTGTTGATGAGAATATCTGTGATCTTCAGTATAAAAATTCTTAAAATGTCTTAACTAAATCTTAAACTGCCAACCTCTTCAATATTTTCATGATTTACTTTCTTTTCAATAATGTCCTTTAACTTTAACAATTCCATCATTTATTTTGTATCTAATATGCCGATATTCTACTTTATACGCAGTTTGTCAAATTTATTCGTTGTTGGAAAATTATTTGTGCACATACAGCGACCAAATCAACTAGTAATATGAGTCATTGCTTTAACACATAATTCTTTTAGTTGTGTATGCATCGTATTGGAATTTCAGAAAAAAAGTTAATGCTGTTACAAAACTCTTTGTTATTAATGATAATATAGTTCATATATATATGTTACTTTAGGATTCTTCACAACATAATATCAAAAAATTCTTCCAAACTTCTACAATGTAATAAGCTGGAAATTTTGTAGTAAATATAATCGTGAGAGAGAAGGAGAAATTTATAGGTAAGCATTTTGTTAAAAACTGTCCACAGAAATATTGAAAAGGCTGGCTAATCAGTTTCATCCTTATAGTTAAACAATCAACAGAAATTTTAATTAAAGAGTAATTAATCAATTAATTAATTAATAATAATAATAATGATGTAATGTGGCTTAATAAAGTAGCAATAATAATCACACAATGAACATGAAATTTTTTACAAAAAAAACTGATAACATTAGAAATACAACCAGTGAGTACACAATTAACTAGTTTCATTCGCTTCAACTTAAATTTCCCCTTTTCAACTACAACCAAATGTTGTCTGGACAAATAGCACTTAATTTGTATAAGTGTCAAACGTCATACAGAGATTCTCAGAGGAAAAGTGGCTGTCATCAGGCTTTACCTCATATTTGAAATATGCAGAATGTTGAGGTAACATTCCATTTAAGTCATTGTATTAACTGTATATGCAGCCAGACATTTACAACATACACAATGGATGCTACTTTTTCCAGACAAATATTTGTTTTAGTCAAAATAATGACAATTTAAGCTGGAATGATCGAAACCAACAATTAACATGATATGAAGTGTGCACAATTTTAAAAAAACGTGACTTCTATTCTGTACATAGTAGATAAACTGATGTATACAAGCAAAATCTCTTCTTCAAACAATTTCATACTGATATACTGCATTTGTACCCATTACAGTGTTTAATGATGGAACATTTTGTTTTTTTTCAATGGGAAGAATTAGTGGAAAGTTTTTCAGTAATAAATCCATGTAATACAATGAACAGTTAATGAGGTACTGGTAATATTCCATAAATTTTTCCTACAATTCAGTTTTGTCTTCCAAAAAACTGACAGATTTTTGTCCGAAAAAGTAAAGATTTTACTTGGATACAAATGTTTAACAGGGGAAAGTAGAAAGAAATATGTGTTATTTTACATGTAATATATAATAAAGAGATCAATTCAAAATATATTTAAAGGTACTCGTTTCACCTTAGCTGTGATGGAAAAAAACAAAACTTAAATTGATATCTTGTGCTATGCTAAATTGAAATAGATTTTTTATCAGATGAAGAAATTGGGTTAAATGCTTCTCCCTTTGGTGGAAAGAAATTGATTTGAATAACATCGGTGTGACATTACAAATTGACATAATTTTTTCTTTGTTTGAAAAATAAACAAATCGATTTTGTGAAATTGATTTTAAATTCAGAATTCCAAATCATGTGCTTTATATAGCTAATTGGTGTTATTCAACACAATAAAAAATAAATTCTTGTTAAATTATCAAAATATAAATACGATTCTGAAAAACCTATTTTCAGGTAGCACAATGACACTTTCATGGGCAAGGAGGTATTCCACACAAATCGCTTGCCGTTGCCCTTAAATCTAATAGAATTTTTAAGTAATTTCCAGTACTTTAAATGTCTAGCTAAATTTGATCAAAGTTTACATTTTTTAAATTATAAATGGTATTAGCTACATGCACCAATCACTAACAGCCAAATATCCCCTTTTCTGTCACCTGTATCAATTTGTCTTTTTCAAAACCAGCTTTCTTGATCAAATCTTTTTTAAGTTTCAGAAAATTTAACATCAGAATTATATTGAGAAGGTCTTTATAACAAGACAACTAAACATTTACCTCCATATTCCTGTATCGAGAATATAGTCTCTTGTGTTTATCCCCATATTCCTATATCCTGACTGAGTCTGAGCAGTGATCAATCCTGAACTCTGATGCAACTAGTCAGTATTCAAGAATATGGCCTTATGTGTTTAGGGGAAAATTGGCACCAATGTACAAAACGACAAAATTATTTCGTGAAAGATTCAAAGAATAACAATAACGATAGACAACAGAAAAATGTCCATCACATAGATCCAATAATGCTCGGAGTGAGCTGAAAATCAATCATTTGATTCAATCACTAAGAAAAGCACTAAAGTTATCTTACTTCATGCAATGAGCACTTGAAACTGTATTCAAATAACACAACAATTTTGATTTAACAGAAAACTATAACGGGTGTTTAAAAATGGCTTACATCAACATTATTAACTTATGAAAAAAAACATCAGACACAAGACTTGATCCACAACCACAACAATTCAATGTTTATTTTTAGGACATGAATTAAAGTTTAACTACTGTCGTTGTTTGTTGAATATCAATTGGCATCATATTGTTCATATTTTAAATATGTAAAATGTGATCGCAATAACTCTGTTTTAATTGTACTCAATATCTTAAAACTTGTTTTATTCGCACAACGAAAACAGAATTTTTACAAAGTTACAAACGGTTAAATTTATCAACATTAAACATGTTTTTATACAGGCCTAAAATATGTATCTCAGTTATAATATTTCCGATATATCACAAAATCAAAAGAGAATTACATATGATTACATGCTTTTAACTCTGTTTCAATCGCCCTTAATATCTTGGCTCATTTCAATTTTAAGCACGCCCAACTTCAGATTTCTAAAAACTAGAATTTGGTGTATCGTTTAATACCCAATTCTTTTTAGATACAAAAACGAACTAGCTTTTTTTATCGTTATTCCAAACACACTATGGAAACACAGTTTCACACATTTTAACATTTATATAACTCTGTTATTCATTGTACAAACAAATAAGTTGTTGTCGTATCCAAGTTAAAACAGCACTTCAAAATGTGTACAAATTATCATACATCCTTTAGACATAATAATTACATTTCAGCCATTTACAAATCATTATATTAAGTCAATTGAAACAGGGCTATTTATCTAAATATAAACAAAGGCCCCATACATATATAGATGACACATAGCATAGCTGCCTGCGGCCAGGTGCCCTATAATATACATAACATGACATGACACATAATATTTTTTTGGGTAGTTTTTCTTTAAAAACTTCTAAAACATTGACATTGTTAATTCACACACACAAAAAATGTAACAATTTTATACAGGTACGGTACATGTACATGAAAGATAAGGTACGTCCAACTATAAGGGAAAAACCCATGTGCAATGACACATGGTGACTTAATACATACATATAGTGACTATATTATTAACATGTATGGATAGTTGTACTAACAATATATGGCTAGACTAATTACAATACGTCTTCCCTTCCACCAACACATTCAATCCTTAATAAGGAATAAATAGCAAAATATACACATAGTACATAGTATTTATTGATACAAACTTCTGGATTGTAATTATAGTTTAAGAAAATATACAGGGTTTACTTACTAATCTAAATATAAAATATTTAAATAAATTTACCCAATCTTCAACAATTGAATTTGATAAAAAATTTAAATGATGTATTGAATTTTGAACTTCAGTAAATGTATTTGATTTCTTCAGATATCCAAAAGTCTGCATCAGTTTTATTATTCATTTAATTATATTGAACTCTATTGATATAGCCATGCTAATAATAAACTTGTGAATATTCACACTACTACAAGTTAAAGGGATATATCAATATATTTATTCACTAGATTTAGTAAGCACATTACAAATTCTATTATTTTATTTCATAAAACACTGAATGTATAGAACTATGCAAGCAAATATCACATTGCTCTGATCGCAAACAAGACAAGGAAAAAAATCAATTTTTTAGAATAACACATCATTTTTCTAATCAGTGGCTCTAGTTATTCTTTTTGTTAATGTGCCTATTTACAAATGTGTTTTGATACATTCAGGGACTTAACATTAACAATCAGTCAGCTATAATCACATAAAAACAATTTATGCATCAATATTGCAAATAACAAAATCATACATCTTCACTTTTCAACTTATAATAATGAATTTATAATACAACATGAACGGAAAATAAACAGTAAATTTTAAATGATGGGGGAAAAATAACATATCTTCATATAATATTTTTATATATCAATTTGAGCAAAAAATAGCAAAAAAAAAAAATGTTTCCCACACCATTAGATCTGTTTATAAAACAAACAAAAACAACCTAGAACCAATGTATATAATACAGGCTTAAAACGCACCAAATTTATATTAAATACCATATAGCTATTCTACAGACTTCCGACTTATATCCGATATATGGACTACTTTGTATAAATGCTTCTATTATGAAAAAAGATCACATATATTTTGTTTTTCAAACATAATATTATATAATATTTGATTTTGGTACCGGTAGTAAATGCTTTGAAATGACTACCATAAATATATGGAGGCAGACCCCTAATTGCTTCCCCTTATCTCAGAACAATGTAGTTATTATTAAGATTAATGTAGTTCCAGTTATCAATAACCATTCTCTCTCCCTTTGTCATGGCAATTTTTGTTGACCTTTTTTGTCCAGGATCCAATATGAGGGTTTGCATTGACACGTTCTGCCAGATTTGGTGAATATTCATGATTTAAAGTCAGAAGGATAATAGGTTAGTTACGATGATATGTACGCGAATATTTACATGTTTATTTGTGCATCCCAAAATTTTCATGGTCACCTTCATAAAATGTTGGGAGCAAGACACCGGCACATGTTGTTACATCTGTGGCAGAGAGCGATCAGACCAACGAAAATTTTGAAAAAGTTGGAGCTGGGTAAAGAGACATGAATTAACAGTAAAATCAACGTGGGTCTGTCTCCATATGCAAGGGAGATTTAACAAGAGTTGCTTCCCTTTAAATGCTTTCATCACATTTCTGCACATTTTATTGTGAACGACTTAGTCACATTTGAATACTTAAAGTAGGCCTATTCTAAACTATAATTGTTACAATTGTGAACAAACTAATATAGGTTTGGAAATATCTAAGTTAAGATTATTCGACTTATCTGTAGTTGGTCATAAATTTAGAACTGAATAAATCTGAATGAAAATCACCTAATTAGGTCCACAACGTAATGAGCTTTTTAGACGTACACTATTCATTTATTTTGTTTCTTCTTTTTAAGCTCATTTCAAAAATATCATAAAAAGCATTTTACCAAGTACTATTTTCATAAGCTATTATTATCAAAACCTTTTTCATATAGACCCTTTTTTAAATTTGACATATGCATAGAAAAAAAAAGCGCCACACATTCATAGTACAGGCATACAAATTAAACATTCTAAGTGGCATTGGATGCCAATAATACTTTGACAAACTCATATAATTATTATTACACAGCAATAAAATTGTACCGACACTATGTGCCCAAAGCAATTAATATTATTTTCCATGATCAAAAAAATAAAATAAAATAATCCTCTTCAATTTAGAACAAAAAAAGTTTCAAAACAAATCTTTTTTTTTTTCTTGCACTTGCAAAATTAATATCATTAGAAGGTCTATTGCGTTCGTATAGCCAAAGAATTGATATTTTTATAAAACAAAACCAGAGTGAAAGTGTACATAATAATAATTAATATAATAACAACAACACTTTTATAGCACTTACAAATTTGTACCAAGTGCTGACTATATAATAATTATATTCACGAAGGTGACCAAGTCACTACATAATAAGTTCATTCATTGTCATTTTTTAAGCTCCGTTTTCAGGAGCGCACCACTGCTATGCTGCCCTTTTTTGGTGCTGCAGGGTAGACTGTTACATCTAGACTATAAAAGGCTTTTTCAAGGACACAGGTAGACACTATACACTGACAGCTGTCATGAACTCGATAGTTAATTTGGGATGCTTTAAGAATTCAAAACACTCACTGTTCACTGTGTCTTACCATTGCATATACATTAAAAATGTACAATGTATATCAAAAAAAAAAAAAAAAAAAAAAATTAATAAATAAATGAAAAGGCATCCCAAATTTTCAATTGTTGACTATCAGCTGGCATGTTTTTAATTATTTTTTTTTTTTTTTTAATAGGTGTTTTTTTTTTCTTCATTTTTTCAATCTTGGACATTAAACTTCCTCCGGGCAACATGATGCTTGGTCTTCAAATATTGCAAGATATTTAATTTTGTCAGTTTTGTCCTCTAGAATTACAAACAAGTCTTTTTCCACCATCACCACAATGAATACTGTTCCTTTTCAACCATTCTATTTATAACAAAACGTTACAGGATACTAGTTCAAATATTATTTTCGTTATTTAGATTAAAGCGTCACTCATCTCCATTCCTCCCTACATAAAGCGTCACTCAAATACCTCCCAACATACAGATACAATGGATAATATTAACCACATACAATTTTCTAAAGAAGCCATTCAATGATATATTTATAGTAAATTGCCCAATGTAATACTTTCAATTTGACATGTCAACTATACATATAGACAGAGAATTAATAAAATTATTTACAATCAAAAAGTGCCATTAACTACATCTGGATATTCTCAAAATTTGATTTCTTTGAAAGGCTTTTGCCTATATTTTTCACCACATTTAAGTGATGGATCCATTTTACACATTTAATGTATTGATGCCTAGAATAAATCTGAAATTTATGTAAATCGTGACCCTCCTGAACAGGCCGTGCTAAAGCTTGGCATTTGTTGAGATGCGTAGTTCTTTATATGCTGCAAGCTTAGAAGACTATTGGCTATCATACTATCTCGGTTTGTCATGGGTACATTTAGGTTGCGATCTGACGCGTCGTTTTTACGGAAACCAATTGGGTCATATGGAAAGTATCGCGGTGTTGTCATCGACGATATGTGTGGTAGTGGGGAACTCAAGCTGTTGGCTCCTATGTTGGCTCCATATGGGTAGGATCCTGTTGATGTGCTGCTAGGTGGCAGCTGGGGCAAGGGCATGAAAGCCGATGTGAATCCTTTACTACAAGCGGAGATGTCCTGGAATTTATCTGGCAAGGGCAGACGTCCAAAATCTTTCTCCAGTGGATCATAGGGCTCCTGTTTGATGGGGCGTAACATCGGTTTCTTTGCGTTGTCTTGAGAATGTTTGGCCATGTGTCGTACCAAATACGTCTCTTGAGTATACGATTTGCCGCAGATATGACAGATGGAAGTTTTCAAATGTTTAGTTTCCGAGTGTTTAGGGATATGTTCCCTTAAACTCTGTTCATCAGCATAACACTTGTAACAAGAGTTACAGCGATATGGTTTATCTGTCATGTGGGAGCGTGAATGAGATTGAAGATTTGAAAGTTGGGAGAATGCCTTGCCACAACCTGGGTGCATACATTTATACGGTTTTTCGCCAGTATGGGTTCGAATATGCTGCTGGAGATGTGATAGCTGAGTAAACTTCCGTTCACATATCTCACATTTGTAAGGTTTAATTCCGGAGTGGATTCTGCCGTGCTGCGATAAATAAGATGAGTTGGCAAAACACTTTGAGCAGGTCGGACATTTGTAAGGCTTAGGATCTTGTTTGTGAATCTGTTGAGAATGGATCAACATATCCGACTTGGTGTTGAAGATCTGAAAATAGAAGAAATATAATACCATTATAGCCAACTTAATCTCTCATGATACTTAGAATACTGAAACCATTAAATTCATTTGAACACATGCCATGCTGATTGAATGCTTTGTAAGCAAGGTCAAACAATCAAATGGGTACAAAAGTAACCTTTAATATTTTGAGCATTCAAAACTTGCAGTGATGAAAATTACCTGAAAGTCATATTTGTTGTCCAGACACATTAGAATTATATTTTAAATTTGTTTTGCAAATTAAACTTGCAGTGATGAAAATTACCTGAAAGTCATATTTGTTGTCCAGACACATTAGAATTATATTTTAAATTTGTTTTGCAAATTCGAATTGACTCTATGATACCTAAAGACATGGATGTATGACAACAGTTAAAATAGTATATTTCATGCTGATTACACAAAAACAAATGTCTGCATTATCAAAGCTTTTCAGAAGATTTTGCCGAGTTTTCTGTATGACAGGTGATGATTGATATGTTGATCTAGAGTCAGTACTGGATCTAGAAGCTGTGAATCAGGGGGATGGGGTGGACAATGAATGTCAAGAAAATATTGGCTATAATTCTGAGCACCCAGGTAGAACATAGATCCTATTGACTATATAGCTCTCTGCCAATTGTTGTCTTGCCGGAAAGCATTTTTTTTTTTTAAGTTGACATGAAGTTTATGTCATATTATGATTGTTATTGATTTTGTTCTTATTTTTTTGTGAACAATAGGGGCGCTTACTTGGTCACATGGAGGGGTCCCCCTTAAATCCACGCCTGTCTAGAGTTGACTTAACAGAATCTGCATATTACTAGAAATGTCTTTACACCAACATGAAGTGAAGTAAACGTTTTACCAAAAAATAAGAACAAGTAGAATATTGATATTATTTTAATTAGATTGAAGAGTGGTGACCTTCTTGATGTGCATGTGAGAACAGTATGGTTTCGCTGTAACTACAATGAACGAATCCACTTACAACTAGAATGCCTGTATTACGGGGATACCCTTGAATATCAAAGAGTTTTTACTATCAAACTTTCGGGACCATACCAGGACTTTAACACATTCCAGACCATACAAGGTATTTACTATAAAACTGTGCAAGGATTTTACTATAAAGCTGTACAAAGATTTTACTATAAAACTGTTGGGACCATACAACGATTTTACTATAAAGCTGTGGGAAGGACTGAAAATCAAGACTTTGTTTATTATTGTGGTAATTGTAGGCCTAGTATATGAACGAACCATCAACTGGCGTACACAATTTAAACTATTTTTTAATAAAACTTCAAGCATTCATAACTTCGCATAATGCATCTTTAAAACATCGTACTACATTGAGGTTCATGTCTGTGAATTTATTAACTGAAAATTGTCAAACCTCTTTTAATACCACACTGCATTATCTATCCTTCTCTTATTAATAGTGAGATAATTATGTGTTCACATCTGTTTATATTCATAACAGTTTTTATCAACAAGTAGAAATTCTAACTTTCATGCACAGGTGAAAAAAAAATTAAAATTCTCCAGTGAAAATAAAGAATGATGATGATTGAATACTTTATTTTAGTTTCAAATTAAATCAGGTTTCAAATATTTACTTAGCTGGCGACGATTACATATCAATATCTATATTATGTAAGCTTCAACAGTCATCAGCCATTATAATTGGTTATTGCTTGACGGACGGAACGTAATTTTAACACTACTAAGATTTATTACATTCATCTTTCAAATATTCCCCCATTATCAATTTTAACTTACAAAATGACAGATATTCAAAACAAAACCAAGGTTCCGATTTATCAAATGTGTCATTGCCTACTATTGAATAACGGAACTTGCTTAATTTACCAATCTTAAAACCAATATGCTGTAGCCTCCCTAATGCACATCTTGAACAGCTTGTTTGAGAGAAGTTCAGAAAACATTTGAGTTAAAATAAACACTGAAGTTAATTTTTACTGTTGTCAAAACATCACACACAAAAATTTATTATTGACTCTTGTATCAAATATCTGTTTTTTTCACCAAAAATTTAAGAGACTCCTTGTAGATATCAACCAGATTGATGATATCGCATTCTCAATGAAAAAAACATACTTCATTCAGTCATATTTAAAATAGGGAAATAGAAAAATAGTCTTAGTAGTATAATATCTAGATCTAATCCACTTGTAAAAAGTAGAGTTAAAATGCAATTCATACATTTGCTGACAAGATCTAATTGGTTGGTTATATGTAGGAGAGATATAAGGTGCATCCGAGAAGAAATAGGGGTTTGTCAGGGCCAGAGTCGTCCAAGCCATCTACAGAACCAATGCCAATTAATCAAATATATCACACTTAAAAAGAATCTTACAAGTTTTTGTTTCAACAGTTAAAAAAAAAATCTACGTTTTAAAAGTCATCAATTTCTGCAGATATGAAGAATTTATCACATCGTTAGGTATTTATCTTACTGCCTATACATAATCAAAATAATGAATCTAATTCACTTAATTAGCAGGATTTTAAATACATTTGTGCACTTTTATTGTTTGCATGTCCCTGGCACACGCATGAACTTCAAAACGCCTACTTAAACCTATCAATTTTTTTATAATTGTCAGGATTACATTTAGTGACAGATCACATATGGCACTGTTCCGCATTTTCACCGATAAATTTTAATCCACCAATACATTTCATTCCATCAAATGGCTAATTTAAACAATTTGTCTTTTGGTTTCTTACATCATTTGAGTGTCTGGGTGTATTTCAAGCTATTTAAATCTATTTATAAATCTATTCTCATTATGTTTTTTCACATATCTCAAACAAAACGACAAATAAATTGTAAACCATTACTTTTTGATTAGCTTTGTTTTGCAACCACCAGTTAAATCAACAATATTTCAAAAGTACCTGTTTATCCGAAAATAAAGTTCAAGTTCAATGACAGAAAATTCACATAAATTTCATGTTATATACAAGAAATCTGCGTATATAAACTTGATAGACGTATTTGATTAGCTTTGTTGTGCAATCACCAGTTAATCAGACCGTATTTCAAACAAATCTGTTATTTGAAAATAAAGTTCAAGTTCAGTGATAGAAAATAAACATTAGTTTTGTCTTATATAAAAGAAATTTGCGTATTAAAAACTAAGTATGATGGACATTTGGTTTTGCAATCACCAGTTAATCTTGTATGTCATCACAGTATCTTGGTTTATACAAATTTTTGTCATTTTGTCATTTTCAAAGAGTCTCAAATGGGTAGATCTAACATATTAATTTTAGTTGGCTGCAAATAGAGGGAAAGAGAAATAGAGTTTTACTTCTATTCAGTACACGTTTTTCTACTAACCAACAGGAGTAGACCTGTTAAGTTACAGTGGCATAAGCATGATATATGGTTACGGAAGGGGGATTGGGCCACTCGGGTGACCTCCTGCCACAAAGATCAGAGTGTAATATCAGTTACAAAGTGACTATACAGCAACCAACAAAAAACTTAAATTTAAACATTTTCCAAAATAAATAATACATGAGTTTTTGAAACTGCTACTTAGAGAAGGGGTGGGCCCCTAGACATACCCCTCCCCCCACACCCTGGAACAAAAACTGACCTCCTTCCAGTACTTTTAATTTTCAAATCATTATATGACCTTTAGTTAGATATTTAAAGATTTTGTCAAGTAGGTTATTGGGCGAATTATAGAAGTTGATTGATCAGAATTCGGTAATTGATGGTATGTTATCCATTTTGATTTGAATTCTGTAAGATGCATCTGTTTCCTTTTCACTGAGACAAAATTTGATTAAAGAATTAATTTCAATTGATTTTTGAGTTTTTGAGGAAAAGGTCACCTATAATGACTTTTCACATATCTTGTGATATTATCAATAAACAGAAAGTCAACATAACCTTGAAATAAACATTTGAAATGCTAAGAAAAGGTTTCATGAACATAATGTTCTTCAATATTATTCAGAAATTTGTTTTGCTTATATAAGGCACGTGTCCAGAAGAGGATATTTTTTTCTCCTTTTGTTTTGGCCTCACTTCACTGTAATCCTATAAATGAACCTAAATGAGGAGAAATATTGTCTCATGGCTGTTGTTTTTATGTTGGTAATTCCCCAGACCTCACGCCAAACTTGGCATTGCCTCCAACTCTGAGCCCGCTCAAGTTGAAGTTACATATTCATACTTTATCTTCAAGATCTGTTTTTTGAAATGCAAAGAAAAAGTGTCACAAAATGAATTTTCTTTTATATTTTCAAAAAGTTATTTTGCTTACATATATATAATATACTTGTAGCATCTTTTTCCAGATGTCAATTTGAAACATTCTTACTATTATTTTTCTCAAACATATGCTAATTTTTTTTTATCTCTGATAGTAATGAATGATGAGCAAACATTAAAAATAATCCCCGAAAGTTAATGAGAGATACGCACAGTGGATTAGATGTGATAATATTTTTAATAGTCATGGGATAAGATGTTTAATATTATTTCACACATCATAGAAAGTTTGTTACTAATTTCTACTTCGGAACATAAATCACTGATATAATTATTGTTATTAAATACTTTTTGGAAAATTCTTATTTAAAAAACACATCTGATTTTTACAAAATAATGACTAAATCACCATGAAAACAGGAAACTGTAAAATTAATAATTTAAACTTTCCCATAAAACAAGATTCAGTAAATTTATATGCAATTTTGTCAACTCTTAAAAAAAATTGTTTTTACTCCTTCAAGTTATGTGGATCAATACCAAAGGTATATAATTTAACACCAGATACGTATCATAGGGCCAGTGTCTAATTATCAATATACATGCTTCGAAAAAACGCTTCAAATGATGTTTCCCTTTCACAAAAACTCATCTTACGCAGAAATCTTATACATGAAGTTCAAATAAAGTGTATGTATTAGTTACAGAGGCAAATCAGTTAATCAAGTTAATTGAAGCTTTGAAACTTTCATGGATATTTAGTCGATAATTCATAATCTCTTCGAATGTCACCGACTTCACTCACTAAATGTCAAACGCTTCCAATTTGTCAAGGCAGAGCATGGAATTTAATCATATACTCGATTAGTTTTTAAAAACAGCCTAAAATAACCAAGTTGCATCAGATGCCAACTGCCAAAGTAATGGAATTTGGTAGAAATTTGGAAATACTATAAATTTCAATTACTGCAGGGCAAGCTAAGAAAACCAAATCAATAGAAGCAATTAGCAGAAGTGTAAAAAAGGTCACCATCTAATACAAGTTTTACTGCAAATTGAGTTCAATATTGAAATAGGTGTTACATGTTGAAATAACAAATATTACTATGATATATGCTTCCAGATAGATATTAATTAAAAAAAAGATTCTTCTTCGGCTCAATTGCACTTCAGCTTCAAGAAATCTATAAATCCTTTTGTTTGAAGTACCCTCAGACTTTAACCACTATACCCTAATCACCTACTACTGAAAATGACACTTAAGAGATCGCTGAAGCTATCATATTAGAAATTTCAATCGCAACTCAGCAGGTGATTTTATCAGATCATTATTAATTTCAAATATTAAATACAAATGTAAAGAAACATTGTTAACTATGTAAACTTTCCAAACAATACCAATTCAACGCCATCTTTTTTGTCCAATTTCAACAATATTTTACCATGTGACAAACCTTGCGAGAAATCTTGTGTCCACAGGAGAAAAAAATACAGAGAAGCACAATGTGCTGCATTATGAATTAACGTAACAAAATCTAATCAGTTCAATAGAATAAAGTTTAATATTCCTATTTAAAGGAGCTAAATCGCTCATATTTTGGACCTAGAAATTGGCACAAATGAGTCGCAACACACAAAATAATGTAATATGAATATATATAAACTGTTTTACATTCAATCGTGTCCGTTTTACTATGAATTATCGCCAGTTATGTTCGGCGAAATACGCCAGAAGTCTCAACCGCAAGTCAGTTTCTAGCGTCTGGTTATTCCAGTCAACACCAATATTATTTATTGCGCATGCTCTCCAAATAAGAGTATGATATATTGGATATCAGAAGCCCATCTTTTCCAGGTAAGATCACAACACCAATGTTGATTTAAATAGTAAACAAAATCGTGTTTTCAATGTCGAAGATTTTGGATGATATTGAGTTACGGACTTGGCTACTTTAAACTCAATATGACAGCTAGGAAGAGAATGGGGTTAAATATCTTGCCACTATTTTGCCAACACAACAATTGGGTCATTTTGAGACAAATATGGTGATCACCGGGCTTTTTTTCTATAGTTATGCGTGCAAGAAAAGTTAGAAAAATTTGCGCAGTGTTTTCGTTTCCTCTTCTTTGATTTCAAACTGTCAATAGTTTGTTTTTTTAATGCACGCCAATGTATGTATACACTTTCCTGTATCTGTGTTCCAAGTTGTGTTGTGGCTGCTCTTATTGTGGGCACTACGTCAACACAATAATTTCACCGCTCTTATTCAAAGCGTTAAGGACCACATTAAATCATAATGAAGGTAGTCGACTTCAACCGACTTATCCAAGATCGTCTGCATCTGGAAGTAAGGGGATAACAAACAAGAGATGTCGATTGTTTCAGGAAATCAGATATAGACTTTAGGATACTATTCTTGACTAACATAAACTTCATTTTTCGATCAGTCAATGTTATTTTTCAAATTTATGTTTTCTACGCTTTTTAAAATAACATTTTACTTTGTTGTGTATCTGCCTGAAGGATGTTTTTTAGTTTTGTACAATTTAATGTTAATCACATGTCAAGCATGTTTTCCCTATTCATGGGGTTTAAACAAGGAAATGTTGTATGCTTGATATGTGAAACTTCACGTAAAAGAAAATATTACATTTTTCACATTTTTTCTATTCTTACTGGCATGCGGAATAAAGTTTTCCACCAAAGATATAGATAAACATGTATTTTGGTGAAATTTCTTGCACCATCATCTGATACGTTGAAATATTTAATAACATCATCTAAGACACCACTCCCAGTTTATATGACAAGTACACATACTTCCTGATTGTATATGGATCATGATTTTCAATTCAAAATTTTTCCATTTACTTAGTTTTTGATAGATTTTGATTAAGCTCAGATATTTTTTTTTCAGAGAATGTGACAATATGTAGCATTATCCTAATTTTCAATATGTCTTTAATTGTTTTTTCACCTAAAAGCTATAAATTTATGCGCATATATTGTTTTAAGGTTAAATTTTTTTAAATTCTACTTTGATGGCATGTAAAATGAGTTATCCAGTCAGTTGATTTGACTGTCATGACTGGTAAATATGACTCAAAGGAAAACCCTGATATAGACTGAGAATAATTTCAATATAAAGCATGCAGCACAATGGTTCATGGTTTTAAGTTTCAGATAAAATTCTGAAGAGATTTGAAATCCGAACTATTAGGAACATAATTATATTTTCATAAAGTCCTAGATAGAAATATTCCCCCCCAACAGAATCATTGCTCAGAAACAGGGAAGGGAGGGGGAGGGGGAGGAAGACTGGCAGATGAATATGTGCTTTCGGTACTCAGAATAGCTTTGGTGATAACAAAATTGGGATCTAACCTTCCTCAGAGTATTATTTCTTCAAAGTCTATCATGCTCTGAGCAGTTCTGGTCAACAGCCCTTGTTTCATGAAGTACATGCATGGTGTACATATAAATTGAGTATTTTACTATATAAATGAAATGGGGTTTAATGTCCACCTTTTCTGCACCAACTTGGCTAATGAAGACAGACATACCCTATGTATTTTAATATAAGGGTCATTTTACATGGATAGAAGTGATGTCACCTTATAATTGTCAGCTTCCATTGTGCACTGACATTGGCCAACCAGTCAGGAAAATCCAGAGGAACTTGCTTTATTGACACCAGGATTGAAACTAAGTCAGAGCTAAACACACTGAGCCATTGTGGTTCCCTTTTATTACATAACTCACTTCTTGAAAGCTTCTTGTACAGATCCCAAGTTCAGATTATGATGGGGGTTTTTAATATAAAAATTTAAAGCTATATTACCTGATCACACATCTTGCACTGGTAGGTTTTACCAGTTCTATTTGGTTTAACTGGATGTGGTACAACCAACGGTATGTTTGGTGCAGGATGAGTTGGGGTCGATGGACTACTAAGGCTGCCTGTACTGTTTGTTCTACCATAACTCTCCACGCCCACTGAATTAACTCGATGTATATCATGTACATGGTGGTTCATAGAGTCCTGCCCCATTCCACCTAATGAAAAAACAGAAGAAAAAAGAACAAAGTACAGATAGATACATCTTTAAATTCACTATAATACTATATTTACATAGATTCTAAATATATAATAGCTTGGACTATAGAGTGAGGACGAGCATTCTGGCATTGTTCAAGAGCTTTCCAGCCTTGCCCAGCATCTAGTTGTTCAGATGGGTTGGAAATCCCAACACACTATGCAACAATTGGCAATGTACAAAACTGACTCCTTGACAGTAAAATTTAAAGAAGATTATGCAAGAAACCTCACAATTCTTCTCTCCTATTACACCAATAATTAGCCACAGATAATACCAAATCAGTCTCAAATAACAAGCCACAGATAATACAAAATCAGTCTCAAAGTTACCTAGATATTTGTCTACAAGACACTGAATGCCGTTCCAATCCATTTGAATTACGAAAAACTATTTTGCTGAGCACTTTTATAAGACAGATTGCCCACTGGATCTTAATAGCCAAGCCTTCAGTAGACTGTTGACCTTGAGAAATCCTGTCTTGCCCTAAGCTTCCCATAGTAGTGAAGACATCTTTAACTATCCAGAAGTCAATGTCCATTTTTCTTTTTTTTAAAACATTGAAATGTCAGTATTTGTAATAATATTAAACCATGCCCACTTGTAGGTCAATTAGAATGCCAAGCCAATACTAAATCTAAACATATATCAATACCAAGTCGAGAAATGGTGCCTGAAGCTTTCTTAGACAAAGAAAAAAAATACATCAATACACCCCCTTCAGAAGTCAGTGTCCAATAGTTCATTCAGGCCTGGAACTAATGGTTTTCATGCTATGTGATAAAATGTCAGCCACTACTGAACTAGTGCCTGATATTTGGAACCTTGTGCCAGTTGTGTTATCAGACAAATTAGCGCTGGGCCAAAATGAGAGGCACCAGAGGGCTGGTGCCTGACAATGTCTGTTACAGACTCAGTGTAGGTGTGAACCATAGAACCAGATCAGTTTGCAATGTAGCATTGGCCAAATATGATTTTGGAAAATTTGAAATACAATACAAGATGTTCTTGTTAAGTCCAGTATATACATCTTTAGTCAATTTGGTGAAGTTGCTGATGCTTTTAACTTCTTGTGAGTATCATTATTATTAATGTGTCAGTGGGTACTGCCACCTCATATTCTTGCTAAAATGGTGTGGGGAGGGGACAAGGATATATTTTGTTTTAAGTTGATTCATTGTTTTTCAGTTGTACTTTAGGAATCTATACTTTCTTACAATGCTTTCCTAATTCCTTCTTTCTGTTTCCATAGATGCTGTGACATATTTAGTCACAGTTGTTGCTCTAAACACTTCTTATATAAAAATATCTATGGCTTTGATTAATTTTATTTTAATTTGTAAAGACGTATTTGATTGGCTGAATAAGCTTTTATTAACCAATCGTAATTTGACACAGAAAATGCTCTTTAAACCAGAAAGGCTTGAGGTGGTGTTTCAAAGAATGCAGAATTCACGAAGATTACAGGATTCAGGGTCTTGCCTTTCTATCCTTATATACAGCTTAAAATCTTACGATATGTAACTATCATTATGTAGAAAGAGCCACCTTTCTGAGAACTGGGTGGCTTAGTATTTCTATAACCAGACATTGATTTGGAACATCTTATTTCAACTATATTTCCTGTATTACCATTTAATTAATTTCTCTAATCTTAACTTATCGAAATGTTTCAAAATAGACTTGAAAGAATTGTCTCCAAATGATCACTAAGATCTGTTAATATCACCTTCCGAATGTCAAGATTCCATAACATGTGTCTCGAGTTGGGACAAGGGAGATCAAGTGGTCGAAATGAGTGTGCTGTAGTTATCTATGTAAGTCAAGGGTTTCTATCCAGGCATGTATGTGACACGGAGTCTAACTCTGTGGTTTTTCTCTAGGCCCCGAGTTCACAAAGCATTCTCAGACTTAAGAATTTACTCAAAATATTATAGCCCTTTATAAAACTTTTGTTGTTTTAATGTATCAATTAAATCAATAACAAACTATGTCCAAAGTTTTGTGTTTCTGGATGAAAGATATTTCTCATAAACAGTGATTGAAAGTTGAGTAAATTCTTAACTTAAGCCTGAGAATGGTTTGTGAAACCGGGGTCAGGTACTTTAGTTTCCTACTATCAATTCTAAAGACCCCTTAACTATATATTATTGAAATGAAAAGATACCATATGTTACTTCTGAAGACCCGATCACACAAGCAAATTATTGAATAAAATTATACAATATGTTAGTTCTGAATTCCCTACCAACTCTAAAGATCCGATCACACTAGCATATTTTTGTAATACAAATAGACCATGTTAGTCCTGAAATGACCTAGTCAGTGTTGAGTGGATGTTAAACCCCATTTCTCCTCCCTTGTTTATTGATTTCTTTGTAACTAACTGTGCTGTATCTGAAATCGTTCAAAACCTTTTCAGCCCAGTCATTTCGGATCTAACACATGAGACTTGTTACAATTTTATTTCAATAATTCCCAGTGTGTAGGGGTCTTTACCAGTGGGAGGAAACAGGGAGACCTGGTGAAACCCCTGAGGTTAGACAGGCCACCCTACCCCTAGTCCCAGATCAAAACTACACCACTTGGCTCAATGAAAAACCTTATGATCTAAAGTGCACACATTAGACAACTTGACCGCCCACCTCCACCTGAGTGGTTGACAAAGTCTTTTAGTATGAACAAGGTATAAGCCATGTTATATCATCTTGGCATTATCAAAATCAAATGTAACAATTGAGATTGATATGGGAAAATATATTCATATAAAACACAAGCAACTTTCAATGGAACCATACACGATTTAACAATCTATTTCACTGAATTATTCATCTGAAAGAATTATATTCTGTATTAGTCCATCTGGTCACGATTTTTTTTTTTATAAACCATGGATACAATGTGCCAAGCATGTTGATTGGTCAATGTTATTAGTAATAAACCACAGCACAAAACTTATTGATTTTCCTCTACACATAATCTTCCATTGATATTTTCATTCTGTTCTTTCCACAAATTTTCCACATCTCAGCAGGAAGGACAAAGAACAATGTGAACCCAGATGGCCTTTTTGACCTACATCTGAATGGCACAGTAGATTATTCGGAGTGTTAATAGATCCCTGTTATCAATATAGCATTAAATGTATTACTTGTATTCACCTTTTTTAAAAAAAGTTTAAACAGTCTGTTAAAAATATGATCAATTAACCCCATGTTAATAATTATCACAAGTGTTCAATATTTGAAGCCTTTTTCTTTTGTTGGGTATATTAGAAATTAATAAATATCTAGTTCAACAATGCAACTATATGATGAATGATGAACTCACTAATTGCTAATTAGTTCCTTCAAATTATATTTCCTACAATATCTCTAAAGCTCCTCTTGGTTTATATGCACTCCAACAAGTATTTTAGCCATCAAATTATATTTTCTTCAATATTTCTAAAGCTCTTCTTGGTTTATATGCACTCCAAGTATTTTACCCATTTATTGAAAAATCTAAACTATAATTTAAAAATAAACTGCAAAAGTGGGTTGAAAGAAGCATCTTATAGATAATCTCCAAAGGCCAATATTTCTAAAGCTCATCTTGGCGTGTATTCACCTTAAATATTAAAACTATAATTTAAGTAAGAACTGCTGAAGTGGGTTAAACAGAAGTATCTTATTGACATTAACCAAAGTCCAAATAATTTAATTCTAAAATATTTGTATATATAAAATAACTTATATATGCGCACAAATATTGACAAATCAAAATTTGCTAAAAATTACCCATACAGGTTTTGCAAGATAAGTACATATACTCTTTGTAATTAATAAGTTGCTAAATACTATTTAAACAGCAATTAGTAACTGGACAAATTAAAATAGTAACAACAGTTCTAAAGAAAACCATTACTGTATTTTAATCAATGGTGGTTCTCTTGTCGATGTTTCTCAAGTCATTTTCAAGCCGCTTTAACTTATATAAGAGGAAAACCCTCTGTCATCCAGTATCTGTCAAAGTTCGATGTAAATCAAATTAATTATATAAATAAAGTCTCTAATGACCAGTTAAATACAATAATTATTCACATCGTTTTTCAGGAAATCGTGTCAAAATTTCAAATTTATTGTAAGTGTTCACCAATAAAAAATGACAGGATTTGAATACAAAATGTTTTATGTTAAAGCATCACTAGTGCACAGTACACTAAAGTTAAGAAATGAAATGGTGAAATGAAATGAGGTTTAATGTCCCACTGTTCTGCTCTAACTGGGGTTAATGAAGATGGGAATACCCCATGTAGTCTACTATGAGTAAAATTTTGCCCAGACAGCGGCACTACGGCCTACTCTTACATCGAATTTCAACTGCCAAGGGATCTTTTACTTGCATGCCAATGTGTTCACAGGACATCATTTTTTATCCCATCCAATCAACTATACTCTTTTCCCATACAGACCCTCCATCCTACACTAATTATATATATATATATATATATATAGAGAGAGAGAGAGAGAGAGGGGGGTTTAATGTCCACTTGACACAAATTAGGTCATTTCAAGACTAACATATTGTTCAATTTTTTATCTCATTATTTCACTTGCGCGTAGGGGTCTTTAACAGTGGGAGGAAACCGGAGGACCTAGAGAAAACCCACAAGATTGGACAGGCGACCCTACTCCTTGTCACCTACAAGCGGGGAATCAAAACCATGCTACTGGACTCTATGACAGACTTTATGATGCATTAAACATTCGGCCACCCAACCCCCAAATTACAAAGGGGAATCTACAGTTTTCATAAGACCAAAGAGTAAGTTTGAACATTCATAGATAATAGAATCTGATGTGATCGTCATCATCTTATCAATCAATCACGTTTTTCATAACAATTTTTGGACCTGGTTACCCTCAATTTAGGAAATCTGCTTGTTGAACTGGGACGAGAATATATTCTACAATTAGCCAAGTGAAAATG